CATGTTGGATTTGGATCAACGCGAAACTATCTCGAATACTACACGTCAACTTGGTACAACTGCAGGCTTGACAACAACGAACTTGGATGAACAGCCTCATAGTCATAGGGACCCATTTGATGAATTTAAGGACAACTACGACGATATCGCTGATAGTGACTTGCAAGTGCAAGAAATTGATACTGAGTTGCAAATATATTTGAAGAAGCATGTGGATGTGGTGAGTCGGTGTAATGTACTGGAATTCTGGAAGAAGGCGGTGGATTTACCTCTACTTAGAAGTCTTTCAAGACAGATTCTAAATATACCAGCAAGCTCCGCATCCAGCGAAAGGGTGTTTTCGACGACGGGCCGGATCTTGGAAGAGAGGAGGACGCGGCTTCTCAGTGAAAATGTTGATCAAATATTGTTTTTGAAAAAAAACTTTGATGCTTGAGTATTGAGCTTTAGTTGTCACTTGACAGCAGCTTACTTTCTTTAAACATTTTTTTGTAAAATGTTATTTGTAGAATAAAATGTTCATTTTTTAAATTTAATTGACCATATCTGGGTTCTGAGTTGATGTGCGTGAGCGTATGTGTAGATTGTAGAACTTTAAACCTCGTGAGCGTACGTAACTCTGTTTGGCAGATAGGTTTACTAGCGTGTGTGCGCGTGAACGTGCATGAGCGTGTGTGCAGAAATTTTGAACGTCGTGAGGTGCGCGACTCTGTTTGACAGATATTTACGTGCGTAAGTGTGCGTGATCGGACTCTCGGTTACCGTGACCGTGCGTGATCATGAGTCATCCCTACACACACCTCTAACGCTGATTAGAAAGCTGCTTTGACTAAACATTGACAACACTAGACAGTACATCAACATTGACAAATTCCAAAGTATAATATGCCATTTCTAAAAATTATGTATGGGCCCTATGAAGCCTACGGCATCATAAAACATAGGTTCCAGAAAATTCGTGGTCTTTACGGTTGTGCAAATAAACAAAGTATCTTAATTTGTTCATAAGTAAGTGTTTCAGATGCTCTAACTGCTTTGGAATATGAAATTGAACTGATAGAGATCAACCTCATAAATAGGCTAACGATAGAACTATCTAAAAGAAATATATTTTCTTGTGATATTAGAAACCTTCAATTCAATATGGAGAGCGAAGATGACGTCGTATGTCAAAGAGCTGTTGAGGCAGTTAAGGAAGCCTATACACGTTTCGATATTGAAGATAATATACCTCTGCACACGTCTGTATCTAAAGGAAAACGACAAATCGAAAATCTTCAGAATATTAAAGGCACACATGAATTAGTTCCCGATTTAATATACGAACATCCGTTTCAATGGAGTGCAGTAAAATGACTTTTTCTAAATACTTTCAATGTACATGTTACTTCAAGAATTAAGAACATTCCACCATATTTCATTATTTAAATTAGGTATTACTTATAAAAGATTTTTAAATAGGAATTCCAGTTTTACAAAACAAAATTGAGACTATTTAGAATTTTTTTATAACTCCGTTAACTTTATCTTTTTAGAGAAATATTAAATATTTTTGCATATTTGAATATAACTTTATTTTACAACTGCAATAAATATCAGAATAATTTATTTCTAAGACTCGTTTAGGTCCGTGTCAGACTATAAAATTATCGTCAATTTTATTTGATCAAGACTGTTTGAAGACGTCACCGTCTTGTTGACATCACGAGTTTGAGTCAAATTAGTCAAACTTTTTTTGATAATAGTTTTCTGTTTTCTAATTAAATAAAATATACTTAGGCAGAAAACAAAATATTACTCGAAATAATAAACTGATAGCTCTCAGAAATTTCTATTTATTATTTTATTAATTTGACCAAATCAGTTTAATCAAAACAATATCAATTTTTTTTATTGTATGAAAGTTAACTTATGTTATCAAACTAATTTGATCAAGCATAATATGACGGGAATTTGATAGTCTCCATGCTAAAAACTATCACATTTTCATCAAATTTATTTTATCAAAACAGTTTGACACTCTTTTCACGATATGACGAATTTGATAACGCTGGTTATCTTATAAAACCAAATAGATCAATTAGGCGAACTCTATTTTCCTGTATATGTAATACTATCCGGACTCTTGTTACAATGGTTACCTATGTTTGCGATTAAATGAATGTCATTGATTTTATAAGCTAAATGTAAATATTACACTCACCAGCAAAAAAAAATGGCTACCCTAAAATATTTCATAAAAGCACCTAAATTAATTAATTAATGTAACTTAGAATTGATATTTGGTTGCAAAACCATTCATTATCGATTCAGGTTGCAACGAATAACTAAGAAAAAAAATTATTTAAGACAAAATTAAAAATTAAAACAATAACAGAAACGGAACAAAAATAAACTTTTTTCTTATGTCTAAACAATTATGGCGGGTGTTTTTAATGGACCTCCTGGTTATTGTTAATAGCGTGTATGTCCTCCTCGAGCCTGAATTGCAGCATTCAACCGTCGTGACCACTTTCTTCGAGTGGCATATTTGTTATTTTTTTTTAAATATGTCCATCGAAGACTGTGTTTTTTTTTTAATATTTTTATTTTCGATTACTTTGCAAATTATTTTCTCTTCTCACAAATTTTCCCCTAAATTATTTCTTTAAACAGTTTCCATCACAGTCCAATTAAAGCACAAGTTCATTTTAAGGGACTATCCAGTGATCTCTATTAGAAAAGGGATCGTTATTGTAGGTTCTAAGCTGACAGAATTTGATTCTACATGTTTAATGATTAGCATTAATTATATAATTTGATAGAATAGCTTATGTTACCAATGATTATAAGTGCAAATTGTGTATATAACACAAAATATTCACAATATAATAATATATGAAAAGCGAGGCCCTAACGTAAAACCACTATAAAAAATTAGCATTATCTCTGTTCAATAAATTTCTGGTTTAGCTAAGAAAAGAGTTGCAACCGGGTGAAGGTACCCATATTTCACGAATCGCCAAACTGGGCTCGTATCGCCTCCAGCAAGCCCGGTCTGGCCAGGTCGGGCAGTCGGCAAAATCCGACTTATTTTGGAAGATAGGCCCCTAAACGACTAACGAGGCGCCAAAAGTATAAGAAAATTTTTTGTAAATTCTTGAGATATAGCCACCGTAAATTGAAAAGAAAAAAGGAAATTGAAACTTTTGTAGAAATGGGATTTTCCCAGGTCAAAAAAAATAACACAAATTTTATTATTTTGCCCTATACCGCTATAAACAGTGTACCTACAGGAAAGAAAGAGAGAAATAAATATATATTCCAAACCGTAAGCCCTTTAAACTAATAACTCCTTTATCTATAAGCCGTGGGCTTGGAGCAAAAACGAGAGAAATTAATATCTCCCAAACAGTAAGTCTTTTAACCTAATAATAACCCTTTACCCTATAGCCGTATAGGTTATATGCTCGGAAGAAAAAATGAGAATATAAATAATAACCGATAGCTTTAAAAATTTTTTAAGGCCCTCGGACTTGATTTCCTGTATCCTGTATCCTGGGTCGATAGGTTTAAGTTTATTACCTATATTAATATAATTTTATATAATTTTAAAACCAATAATAGTTTGAACGTAGCCTATAGAGCTATAGCGTAAATAAAATCTGTGGAAATGGCATGAGTAGGGTAAGGTGGGGCAAGTTGACGAATGGGGCAAGATGACGAATTTGATTTTGATGAAAATCAAAAGCAGAAATCTGCAGTATATCAAACCCGTGATATCTGGTCGGGACCTAGTTATAGCTTAAAAAGATAGGTGGCATTACCTTCACTACGTTCGAATTTATGCTTGAAATTGTGTTTACTGGTTAGTCATTATAATATTGCTGTGCAGTAAGTAAGGTTTTTTGCAAAAAGTGAAGTTAAGACTTTTCCTAATTGTTGTTTATTTTGTTGTTAGGACCCAATAGATTAACAATGTAAGTAGCACGAACTAATTTTATTTATTGTTTGTTTTATTTATAACGATTTTATTATAAATTCTCCTGGGGGCAAGTTGACGGGAGCAAGTTAGCGAACTCGTCACCTTGGCCCAAGGAGTTTTCCTCAAGATATTTTTTTTTACAGATGGTGCCTAACTATAAGAAAAAAGTGAACGCCGGTCGTGGTCAGAAGATAGTATAATTGCTGCCATGTATGCTGTCGAAAATGAAAATATGGCAGTTAATATAGCCAGCGTAATTTACGATGTGCCTAAAACAACACTGCGGCGATATATTAAAAAGAATAGGGAAAAAAAGTTTACCGGAAAGCGGCGGCAGATTTAAACGTACTTTTACAGAATCACACGAAATTGAACTAACTAACTACATCAATGATTTTAACATTAGAGCATTTGGTCTTACATCTTTGCAGTGCCGAAAACTTGTCAACGAGTTTGCTGAAAGAAATAGTATTTCTGGTTAATTTCTTTCATGAAGAGGCACAAAATCAGCTTAAGGACCCCTGAGTTTACGTCCATCGGACGTCTAATTGGATTTAATCGAGTTGAAGTGATGAGGTTTTTTGATTTGATTCGGGAACTTAAAGTAAAACACAATTTTACGCCTGATCGAATATACAATGCTGACGAATCAGGTTTGTCCACTGTTCCAAGTAAACAGCCAAAAATTTTATCTCCAACTGGATGCAAAAAAGTGGCAGAAGTGGCTAGTGGTGAGCGTGGCCGTAACACGACTGTTGTTTGTGCCATGAATGCACAAGGTTCGTACGTTCCACCCTTTTTTGTTTTTGCCAGAGTGAGAATGCGTCCTGAACTGTTACATGGATGCCCCCCTAATTCCGGAGGTATAGCTCAACAGAGTGGATGAATGAACACAGATGCTTTTGTTCAATACCTTCGTCATTTTATTAAATACACCTCTCCTTCCAACAGAGTGACAGTTTTATTAATTGTTGATAATCATTCATCTCATACATCTTTAGAAGCAATTAACTTGTGCAGAGAGAGTGGAGTGATTATGATTGGTTTGCCTCCTCACACAACTCACCGCCTGCAGCCATTGGATGTGGGATTTTTTGGTCCTCTTAAAGCATTCTATAACCAGGCCTGCGACAATTTTTTGGTGAATAATCCCGGTAAAACTATTACAGATAAAGAGGTAGGACATCTGTTTGGAAAAGCCTATTTGAAAGCAGCAACTATAGGAACTGCAGTTAAAAGCTTCGCTAAATGTGGAATCGAACCCTTTGGTCCGGACGTTTTTAGCGACGCAGATTTTGCACCAGCTTCAGTGAGCGAGCGCAGACATGTCACCGCAGAAGTGTCTAGTGATGATGACAATGATGAACCTCTCATCAACATAAAAAATAAACTAAAGAATAAAGCTGAAATGTCTTTAGATTCAGCTAGTTCATCCGATTTGCAAAAATCTCCTAGTGTTATTGGACTTCAAATTGATGATGATGATGAAGGGAATAAGAAGGAGAACGTGGTTCAGGAAGATTTGGCTGTTGCAAGTCCATCAGGTCTTCAAAACTTGAAACCCAATCAGCAAATTAAATTTGTTGAGATTAGACCTTTGCCTAAAATAAATCGACCGGTTCTGAAAACGAACAGAAAGAAGCAAAAGGCGTCGATATTGACTTCAACTCCCAATAAAGAAGACCTCGAAGAGAAAGAACGAGAAAAAAATTATAAAATTACCAAAAAGAATACCTTGAAAAGAATACGTGAAGAAAAAGCGAAAAGAAACGTTTTCAAAAAGACTGAAAGAAAATCTATCAAAGAGGCCCTAAAAAATCTGAAGAGAGAAATGACTTTTTTTGTCCCAGCTGCGAGGAACCATACACTGATCCTCCAGTTGAAGATTGAATAAAGTGCGATGTATGCGAAAATTGGTGGCATGACGCCTGCACGAACTACGAGAACAGAGGTGTCTTCATATGTGACCTTTCCATGTAATCGTCATCTTGCCCCCAATATGTTCGTCATCTTACCCACTATTGGGGCAAGATGACGAAATTGCAACAAGTTTTTATTTTCTATTTTTCCCTTCATGTTTTGTTTTTTCGTTTATGGTTAGTTCATGAAAAATCAGCTAAAGGTTCTATGATTCTATTATACTTTTGAAAACTTTAAAATTATATGTAGTTTATTTTTTAGAATTTTTTTTTATCTTAAGCTCGTCAACTTGCTCCACCTTACCCTACTGCAGTGGTAAGTACACTTATATTCCTACAAATGACGGCATAGCGCTTCAAATGAGCTTTAATTTGAACTGCAAATAGATATTCGTAGATTGTACTGGAGCTGGAGAAATGACGATTCAGTCACCTATCACAATGAGTTTTTTTTCTGTTAAAAAAAAATATTTAAAAACAATAAGTACTGCAAGGGTAAGTATATTAAAAGTATACAGAGTGTCCCGAAATGATTGCAACAAAATTTAGTCACTGAATCTTAAGACAAATTTAGGGGATCCGTATTTTTTATTTTTGCCAAGTGGCCCCCTCTTTCGGAGTTACAGCCCCCTGAAGACCGCCCCTAAGAATAATCTTTTTTTATACCTCAGAACCCTGTTATATGAGAATCATTAAATTTGGTACACAGGGGTTTTATAACATGTGGAATCTGATGGTGCTACGTTTTTTGGCGGGAACCCCCTTAAGACAATTTTTCGTGGACTCCCTTTGGAGCCAAAAAAATTTGGTCGCATATTTAAATTTCTTAAAAATTACTCCACTAGATTAACGTTTTGTTTTTGCGATGTTTGCTTATACATCAATGACTTTGGATTTGGAAATACAACGTTTTCTTGAAATTGGCCACACGCAGAATGAAAATGACAGCATGCATGCCCAAAGTTACTGCCCCACAGTACAAAGTAAAAGAAGTGTCTCAAGAAGATGTTGTAACTTTTAAACCAATGGTAAATAAACAAAACTGGAAAATATATATTACTGGACAGGTTGTAAAAATCAGCAAAATCAGAGAAATCCACTGCGATCCAAAGTCTCCCAATAAAGTATTTTTTGTGTATAATTTTGGAGATAATCATAAATAACTACTTACAAACAAAAAACCCACGCAAACGCGAAGAATATAAATTTCCAAGATGGTAATAATAGTGACCAAGAAGATGACTATGACTAAATCGTAATAAATTTTCCTTTTATGTCATTATTATATAAAAATAGAAAATGTTTAATTTTTCTGTACCTTAGTTATTAGTGTAGCAAATCGTTTCTCAATAAAAATTTTGTCGACGAAAACTGTAGTAACTCATTCAAAATCCATTTTTTTCTTAACCTAAAGTATTTTATTTAGATCATCAATAATTAATTAAGACCTAAACAATAATTACTTTGTTAAAGAAGAACGATTTAGCTCTTGTAATAAAAAAATAACGAACATTATTATTTTCTCGACTATTCAAATGCAATTATCTCAATATAACCAAATTTGAGATCCGACAATTTTCCTTGGGAGAGCCGATATGCGCCCTTACCCTTAATAACAGACAAAACCAAGTAGGCCCCGATTTCCGACGGCCCCTGAAAGAGCCAGACCGGGCCTGGCCTCCAGCCTAGTCCAGTTTGGTGAAACCTCGGCTTTAGATTCACAATTACAAAAATTATAATTTGTTTGAGTTCCTAAAAATTCAATTTACTTACTTGATAAGAATAACTCATATTTACGGACAAAATTTTTCTTTGAATGCCATTTTGTTTATGTATTGTACACACAAAATGTCGTTTCAATATCGTAATTTGTCCCGATATTTAGAGATATAATTTTTTTTTAGAACTTTAACGTATTATGTCTAAAACATAGTGGGAGTTCGAAAACAATATACAGGTAGCAGTGAAGCAGTGTCATTATTTTACTTCCTCTATAGTAGCATAGAGCGTAGAGCGTACAATATATTGGTTCGCAAACTGTATTAGACCGGGAGATATTAAACTGAAGTTCGACGACGTCTTTCTCGTTTATGCCTCTGAGAGTACTGAAAAATAACCGAGAGACAAGTAGGTACAATAAACTAAATTTGAAAGATGGGCTGCGGGACACCTTTGTGAAAATTCTATTTTCCTTTTCAAAAAAATAATGTGTACAGCGACGTATTTCTCACTGATACCATGTTCATAAGTTGAAGAGAAGTATCGATTTTATCACAAAATTTTTTTGGCATAAGTATCCCATAAGGGACCTAGAATTGGAAAACTTTGTAAGAAAATGTGAAAAACATCTTTATTATATATAAATATGACATTATTATATTCGAAAAGCTCATAAAAAACATTGGCATAAGTCCTACTAAGGACTAAAGAAAATAGGGCTTTGGAAAAGCTGCGGAAAATTAAATTAAATTAAATTTTCACATAGGTGTCCAGGCGGGCACATCGGCTTTTTTCCATAATCTTACTTGTCTCTAATGTATCTTTCAGTAGGTACCCTAAAAGGCATAAACGAGAAAGACGTCGTTGAACTTCTACGAGTATCTCCCGGTCTATATAGTTTGCAACTAAAAATATGTGTTCCGCGGTGACCAAGCATTGTGGTCATGGGTTAACGTTCTATTTCATAGTACCGGATAGCTTTGAATTAATTTGAATTGAAAAGGGTGTTGAAAATTTCCACGTCTGAAATATCGTGTTGAGAAGCTCGTTTGATAATTTTGTTGTTAGATTTTGAAACTCGAGAAATTTTTCGTTTGCTCCACTCTGCTTATACGGCAGCCTTAGAACCTCTGAGTGTTGTTGGTGATGTTGAACCAAATACTCTCAATAGTATTTGGTTGAACCGACATAATCGTTAAAATGCAATCATTGGCTAGGTGGTCTATGATTGGCTACGTTCAGCTGACAATGAGTCATCACTTTAGAAGTTTGATTATTCCTAAACTTTTTTATGATTAAACGTGAATATTATGCATTTCAAACTAGATTTCATAAGAATAACACGATGGAACTGTAAATTTCACCACTGAACTTTATAGTTCAAAGTTCAATGCAAGTAATCGGGCATTCTCACTATAGATCGGTGCTTACCAAGGATATTTTTAATTATAAACATCCTTGGGCGCTTACTAATCGAATATAGAGATCAAGTAGTAGAGAATATAATGTAAGAATACCAAAGTGCGAAAAATCAGTTGGGCAACGAAACTGTGATTACATGCAGCAAAACTTTTTAACATGTGTCCAAACGGTACCGCTGTTGTATCACTACAATTATGAGTGGAAAGGTGACATATTTGAAATTTATTTGCTTCTTTGATTCATTGGTAGAACTGACTCATGCGTCAAAAAACTTGACAAAGTCCGTAGCAGTGTAAAACCACACTGTTTACCAATAAATTCGTAAATTAATTCATGAAGAACTTCGTCAATTTATTGATCAATTAATTCATGAAGTCGCTTCATCAAGAAATTGGACAAGTGTAATGCACCAAATCTGCTGTCAAATAACTGCATTCATTTATTCATCAAGTTCTTGACGAATTAGAGCATGTTCTAATTTTCGTCAATTTCTTCGTGAAGTTCGGAAGTACCAACCCAACAGATTTCCAGCCACAGATCAGTAATGAGGTTATGTTATTGGAATATGTGTAATAATATGTGTAATTATGTGGTCGTACTAGTTTTGCATTATTATTATTATTATTATTATTATTATTATTATTAATATTATTATTATTAATATTATTAATATTATTAATATTGCCGTTCCAAACAAATTTACTGGTCACGTCGATTGTAATCATTTATGAAGGTTCTGTATATACATCCTACCGAATATACTGACATGGCGCTCGGTGCCCAGAATATGCACAGTTCGCAGCGTCTATACGAGACCAATGACTTACCTACCTACTCAGAAATTGATGTACCCGTTTCTCATGGCGGGTGTCAAGAAAATTGTACATAATTTCCACACTGATCCTTCCAATTCTCCTGGAAAGTCGAATTCGAGCGGCAGGGAATTTCATGCTGGTCGTCCCGGTTTCCTGCTGGTCGTCCTGGTTTCCTGATGACTTGGAATTAGAGCTGACAATGAGTTAAATCGTTCCGTTTAGGGATTCGATTAACTCAGAGGCGGATTGGTTAAGCGGGAGGTTTCCCGATGGGCCGCGGTCATTTTGGGCCGGTCCGCGCTGTAGAAGGATGAAAAATATTTTTCTTTCAAAAAATGGGCCGCTTGATGAATGTTTCCCGGGCTTGTTCATCTAGCCAGTCCGCCTCTGAATTCATTGATAACAATTCTCGTCGAAATCGACTCATTCACAATTCCAAATCCGCCGCGGCTTTAAATTAATCCGGAAATTTTTAGTTGCATTTACAATATTACCGAAAAACTGACGTTCGCGAGAAGTATTTTCATTTAGATTATATAAAAAATAGGAATAATAGTTCGGCTTGTGGACTTCTGCGAACATTAATGCATACCGTATATGTATGTTCCAAAGGAACTTCGTAGTTGCAACAGCCTCTCGTGACGTTCCCCGTTGTTAAGTCGGTCCTTATTCCACAGGCCCGACTTTACACCCACAATTAAACAATGCATACAGAAAAGATTTTTTTAAATAAACACTTCCACACAACCAATTATACTCCGAATACCATTCATTCCGAAACTTCCGAAAGTACATATCGTCTTTTGACTTCTCCTTTTTTCCATATCGAGAGAATAAGGGATGCACAGGTCTCTCGCAATTTAAAAAATCCTTTTTGTCCTCAATTTTCCATCTGGAAATGGCGTTTCCAATAAAATACATACTGGATCAAACATATTAAACATTTCTACAATTATTATACTAAACAAATATTAACTAAGAACCGTTATCATCGGCGTACCGTATAAACTGTTTAAAGGCAACCGACGAGCGATGACAATGCTGCTTCAATTTCCGCCCCACTCCTTCCCCTACGCCGTAGTTTACTCCCGTGTTGGCCGCCTCGTTGCCATGACAACTGCCGTAAACAACGCTACGAAGAGAAGCGGAATACAGACTGATTTCGACCTGCGTCACTATACTATTCCTTATATGGTTCGAGGTTGATGTTCGCACCTGTAACCTGAGTTATTTCTTTAACTATTATCTATCTACCGCTATGATCAGCATCATAACGATATTAACTGACAGAAGAGTTTACTATTAACTTCTCGAAAAGAAGTTTATAATTATCATTACGCTTTAATTAATACGTGGGAACTTAGAAATGTTGTACGTTCAGAGAATGAATTCCAGACACTTACCGTACGTGGCTTATGTACATATAATTCAGTGGTTGGTTGTATAGGATGACACTCAAGTTGGGAGAACAAGAAACACAAAGACTTCCAGGAAGGGTTTTAATAACAATAAAAACAAAATAAACAAAATAATGACACAACGGGCTCGAACATTATTTATTTATTTACACGCGTCAGCGTACCGAGATTCAGGGAATGCGCGATCCATAGCAAAATTTGGAATGACTTTATCAATTATTAAATTAACCTGTAAAACTAAGTAGACTGCTCAATATGGAACTTAAGGAAAAACTGCCTGTTTTTCGGAGATCTCTCCTAAATTCGACACCTCGCTTCGACACGCCCATTTCTTGGGTCCAGAACCCTTTGGTATAACTATACCATGTTAATAATTACCTAATTGACTGGACTTACATATATAAATAATTCTGTGACTAACTGAACTTACAAGTAACCATAACCTTCCTCTAGTGACTCCGTGTAGCAATACAGGACGGATTAATCAATCTCATTTAATATATTCTTATAGCTCAGAAAATCCGCCTAGAAACTAGCTATTTGATCTATTACTTTCTTTTCCAATTATTATCAATTTAATAATTTGATTTAATTCAAATTTGGAACCTCTATGGCCTTCTCTTGGTTTTGGGACTGTTCTAATTATCGGTTTGTAAATTAGTCTCCGCGAAAAAGCTCTTCAGACCATCCTTTAAATACAAATATGGCACCTATGCTACTTGACTCTCGTCTGACCGTGGTTGTTTTTAGAAGGCCTAATAGAACTATTGAGCCCGTCTTTCCGAAAACCGCCCCATAATTTACACAGATTTGGCTTTTGTTACACACCCAACAAAAGCTATGTTTATTTCTGCGTATTAAACAAACACAATACATTTTCAATATAGAATTATACCTAAATTATAAAATTTATATAAAATTAAAAGTAATTTTAAATTGCACAACCAAACGGAAATTTTAGGTGAAGCGATGCATCACTTGCGTCACCTGGTGAGCCGCCACTGGATAGACCTATTATCTTGGCAAGTTTTGGCAAAATGAAACCAAGTGTTTAAGGTTTTTTTTTTGGTTGAATCATACCAGCTTTTAGGTTTTGAAATTCTATATTAGCAAGTTGCTGATTGCGTGGTGTGACCTTTTTTTTAGAATCTCACCAAAAAGTGTTTAGTTTGAAATTGTATATTTTTTTTTTGTTAGAAAAAGGGCCTCCGTGGAGCTTACAGCCCCAGGCCTCACCATACGTTAATCCAGCCACGACTATTATTCATTTTCAATGCTGAACTTTTTCGCAACGATTCTCGATTCTAAACAGTTTTCGACTGAACTTTCAGCATCCTTTCATTTCATTTATCTCGTAAATGAAACACTTATGCATTTTAATCTGAAATTTCTCTGCATAAAGGCTGTGACAGCCCATTATTAAAATGAGCACAGATTTAAACACTCATACCCAAAGTATAACATTTAAAATGAGGAAGGTAAACAATAAAAACAACACAATTAGATAACGAATTGTCATTCAAATTACTTTCATCCTTACACAATAAATAAATAATACAAATAAAATACTTCATATTACCACATTTCATTCGCTTTATACACTGTAATAAGTATTAATACTAAATCAATGTACACGCAAAACAATCCTTGTTGCAGAAAGTCGTTTCGATTGAAATTAATTTACCACCTTTCCAATGTTCATATTTACGCAAGCTAAACAGTGCTATGTACAATAATTACATTAACTATTAGAGATATAAATATTAATCAGTGCATATTTAAAATATGATTTATAATAGTGTTTAAAATACCTGTATTGACATTTCTATTATACAATAAATACTTTTGTACTCGCTAAGATTGTTTTCTATGCTATGGATCTGTAACATGTAATTTGTGGTTTTAACTGAACTGTGATGGCTTCAGGTGTTCCAATATTACCTTTTCCAAAATATAAATTTAAAGCCTGGTAGCGTCTTCAAGCAAAGCAGCTAATTCTTTGAGATATTGGGCTTTGCTTCCAGTAGCGGTACTTGCAGCAACAGGTCGGCCAACATAACTAGAAAAATAATAAAAATCAATTGTGAAAAAATAACTAATTAAAAAATGGAAACATCTGTTGACAATTTTTTACATTTCCTGAAAACTAATGTTACTCGCATTTTTCAAGCCTTAGAAACACAATGATGGTATGGTGAAACTAATGAAAAATATGTATAATGAGAGTGATTAAATTAGTAGATTCCAAATATGAGAAGTCAGTTAAATTAAAGAAACCTGTTAGCCGATATGACAGAAAAATTTAATTTTCTATTAAAATATTAAAAAGACAGGGCATATTTTTTTTATTGATATTTTATTAATAATCTCATGAATGGTTTATAATTGATAGATTATAAACCAACCATAAGATTCTGAAATCAAGATGCCATATTGCATTTCAAAATACCAACAATTTTGATGTTGGTACAATATCATTTGTCTTGAATGAATTAAATGGGGAACTATTTCATGAAAAACGAAAACAAAATGATAACATTCACAAAGTGATTGTCCAGTTGTATTTTTTATAGTTTGAATATTGTTTCACTTCTTAACATTATTCAAGGTCTAAACTTTTTTTTTTCTTATTAGGCAAAAAGTATGGGGTATTAAGCTGGCAAGGGATGAATGACAAGTTGCACTTTGATTAGCCAGAATAACTAAATATGACAATAGTAGTCGAGGAAATAAAGCACTGACAGGATTCATAGTTCAAAAATAATAAAGAATTCCCGGACTTTTTCAGGTTTTCCCTGACTTAAAAAAAATCCAGGTCATTTGTAATTCATTTTTACATACTAATTGATGTTTATTTATGCATTAAACTTTTTCTCGACTGGACTCCATAATCTTTTTTATACCTAAAGAACCTCTTATAAATGTTTCGAAACCGCAAATAGTTTTCTCTTTCAAGAACCCAAGGCCTGCTTTCACAAAATTTCCAGAAGCAAGCATCAAATTCCCTGACTTTCATAACTATTTTTAAAATTCCCTGACTATTCCCTGTTTTTTATGAAGAATAATGAATTCCCTGACTTTTCTCGGTATTATCGGTTTTACCCAAGGACATTTAAATAAAGGGAACTTATTTATTTACATTTCTAGATGAAGCCTGGTCTATTCACAGTCTAATTGTATCATTGTTGTCAGCTGTATAATTATACTGGAAATGTACTTAATATTTTTATGGCAATTTTCATCACAATTGTGAAAATTATTATTATAGGATAGTATTAGTAAGTTATGCATACAATATTGTTAAATTCTGTACATATTAAACTATTTTTCATTTTTCATATTTGCTATGTTTGAAGACTTGGCAACTACGCAATAATTTGTAGCGTGTTCCTCGTTCGTTCTGCCGTGGTTGGCAGAATATGGCGTCTCTTGTTAGAAAATAGTTGTGATTTTAGTAAGTGAAACGTGATTAGTGTTTATACATGTATTTTGGATAAACTTTTAAGGTGTGAATATGGTTAGACAGTGCAGAATTTGTAAGAAATTGGATTATAAACATCCACATCAGCTATCCTTCCACAGGTAAGCGTGCTTGAAGGTGACTTTGGAATGTATATGCAACTGTGGCCATTGTCGTGCGTGTGGGTAACTTTTATTTGAATAACGGTAAAATTTTATAAAACTGACTTGGTATTTTTTTAAAATTTTTGCTGAAATAGTAAGAAAACAATAATATGAACCACGTTTGGCCATTAAAATCAAAGGAAAATGCTGCACCACAAATAAGTTACAGACATTATTTATATTTAATATATTTATAGGTATTTCAATGTTATCCCTTATACCCAACATTACAAATTTTAATCATTCATCATTTTCATTTTCCTCTACGACAAAAACCTTTTCAAAAATATATTTACAATTTTACTAAATGCACGAGCATAAAAACTGAATAAATACAACAGCAAAAATATGGTGGTGGTTCACTTATACATAAAAATACCGAAGATGCAATCAACTGAAAGTTGCATTCATTCAACCATTTGATGTTCTCCTTTGGGAATATATTTTTATGTCTCACTGAAAATTTGCCTCAGTATTCTAAAAGTGAAATGTGAACGTTTTTAGGATGCTTGGGGATGGTGCAACAAGAAAGAAATGGTTACAGTTATTGGGATTCCAAGAAGTTATAAAAATATTATATATATTTATTATAAAAATACTGAGTAGCTGTTGAAATATATTGACTTAGGACTATAAAATATTTTATTTTGACCCATCCAAAATGTACGACATTGGAGATGTAATCGCGCGCATCAGTTGGATGAAAATAAAGCCCTCTGCTTTCCCCTTGTCTAGCTTCACCCAACATATGAGATAGACTGTGACATGCATAGTCCCCTTTATTTAAATGTCCTTGGTTTTACCGGCCGCTATGAACCCTGACTAAAAACGGCCTTACTGCACAGTTTTTGGAGGTAAGGCCGTTTTTAGTGCTTTATTTCCTCGACTAGTATAACAATGTATTATTTGCTTAAGGAAAATATGACTTTTCTACAAAAGGAGCTCATTTTTACTAAAAGTTAAATTTTTAAAAAAATTTCTTTTTTCCATGTAAAAAGTTTTTTCACTTTAAGTTACAATACTTTGAACAAAATAAAGTTAAAATGTGAAAAAATTAACTACTATTTATATGGAGAAATTAATGTAACAGAACATTTTGTAGAAAAACGTTAATATACAGGGTGTTTCAGTTCGAGTGAATAAAACTTTAACCACAAATAGAACTCAATAAATAATTCAGAATTGTCTTATAACGTAAGGATCTAAGTCTCACCATTTTCACTGTACATAACCGGTGGGCTGTTAAAATCATATTATTTATGAAATCTTTGGTATACTTAAAACAAATTGATTCAAATTTGGTGTGGTGTTAACATTTACACATGTGCATAATTTACTGTAAAATTTACACATTTTTGTAGGTCAGTGGCATAGGAATGAGTAGTAAAGTGGGATGTTTTTACCTCAACTTCCACGCCAATGACCTAATAATCATTCGGAATTTATTTTTAGTTTCCGGGGACAATTCTACATAAAAAAAGGTAATACTTGTTGAAAATCAGTACAATGTATCGTTTTACTGAAAATCTCAGTTGAATGGGAGACCGTTCTTTTGATAAGAAATTTAGTTTCTTAAAGATAGGAAATAAATTTTAAATTAATATTATTATAATGTCACGCATTAACGACTGATAAATTCTAAATATAATCCCTTCTGTAGTATTTATTGCATGCGTAATGTGGTGAATTCCCCCTCCAAGCTCATTTTTTTGTTGCGCTACAATGCAGAGGACAGCATATTCAATGGTCCGTTTGTTTGAAACATATAATTTATTTAAAATTTCACCCACATATTAATTTTAAATCTGCGCTGTGCGTCCATTACAGTATCCGGACACAACAATTGCCATGAAAAAACAACTAAGCAATAATAGAGTTTTCTGTCATCAGGAAATGTCATTTTATTTTAGAGATTTGAAATATTAGTTAGTGTGTGTCTTTCTTATCAGAAGAACGGTCTCCCATTAAACTGAGATTTTCGGTAAAACGATACATTATACCGAGTATACAAGTATACCTTTTTTATGTAGAATTGTCCACGGAATCTAAAAATGAATCCCAAATGATTATTACATCATTGGCATAGAAGTTACTACCCATTCTGAGGCCACTGACCTACAAAAATTTGTAAATTTTACAATAAATTATGCACATATGTAAATGTTAACATTACACCAAATTTGAATCAATTTATTATAAGCATACCAAAGATTTCATATGATTTTAACAACCAACCAATATGGCTCTGTACAATAAAAACGGCGAGACTTAAATCCTAAATTTATTGAGTTGTATTTGTGGTTACACTTTAATTCACTCGAACTGAAACACCCTGCATATATTTTTTTTCAGAAGTGAAAAACAGGCATAGTATACCATATTAAAATCTGTACTAAAAGGCCAGTTTGACCTAGTACATTTTCTTTACAACGCTGTCAAGTTAGGGTTACAAGAATTTAAATAACCTTAAAATGAGTCAAATTCCACTTGAGCCCTGAACTGTATAAAGCAAAGAAAAAGCACTTAATATATGAGTAGGCAGGCAGCTACTCGGAAGCTCTGAATAAAATGGATTTTATTTTCCACTTTACCAGTACAAATTTTGTAACATTTTTTCTCATGAATGATTAATTTTAATAAAGAAGGAAGGAACATGCACAGCCACTAACCAACAAGTCAGAAACACAGACACAATTATTTTTATATAAATTATTAGATACATTACCTCAACCAATAAAAATTTAAAACAAAAAAAAAGAGTGCATAAAAACAATAAGCGGCAATATGTGAAGATATGACTAAATCTCACCTAACAACCCTTGCATCGGGCACGTTTTCATTACGTTGTTTAGATTGAGGTTTAGGTTCGTCCTTACCAAACAGTCTACTGAACCAACCTCTACTCTCAGTTTTAGTGGAGCTAAAACATTAACGAAAACGATACTCATTCGAGAGTAATCATATCTTCACTCATTAATTAGTATTAATATTCAATATAAATAAATTTAAAATGTCACATATTGCCTTAAAATAAACTAAAACAGATGTTACAATTTTAAATAAACTGTGAACAAATTTGATCTAAAAAAGTTTAATCTACACAAGGCCTGAAGAAGTATATCAACATGTTAACCACTGTTCCTTTAAATGACAATAATATAACTTTCCTTATAGCTGTTTTACATTGACAATTTATTGATCTATTAATTCATGAAGTCGCTTCATCAAGAAATTGGACAAGTGTAATGCACCAAATCTGCTGTCAAATAACTTCATGAATTTATTCATCAAGTTCTTGACGAATTAGAGCATGTTCTAATTTTCGTCAATTTCTTCGTGAAGTTCGGAAGTACCAACCCAACAGATTTCCAGCCTCAGATCAGTAATGAGGTTATGTTATTGGAATATGTAAATAATTGTGTGGCGTCGTACTAGTTTTGCATCGTTTTTACTGATTTGTTACTTACAAACGCTAACATTTATATAATATGTGTCAAAACGGTACCGCTGTTATATCACTACAATTATGAGTGGAAAGGTGACATTTTTGAAATTTATTTGCTTCTTTGGTTGGTTGGTAGAACTGATTCATGCGTCAAAAAACTTGACAAAGTCTGTAGCAGTGTAAAACAGCACTGTTTACCAATAAATTCGTGAATTAATTCACGAAGAACTTCGTCAATTTATTCATCAATAAATTGTCAATGTAAAACAGCTATTATGTAATTTTTCATTATGACACCCCTTTTTCGCAAATGAGATAAAATTAATAAAAAAAGATTAACAACACTGTTGTGTTTTGTAGATTCAAATTGTGCAGTACTTGTATCTCATACACACTTTTTGTGTAATTATAGTAAACGTGTTTAATGGAGGAAAGGGTGTTGAGAGGAACATTTTTGTTTTCAATATGAAAATTCTCTTCTATTTTAATGTTCACTTGTATAAATAAGATAAAAAAATTCTGATTATATTTCTGATCGCTAAGTCAGAGAGTGATTTAGCTGTGGTAGAAACTTCAGCAATCTAGAATTATACTTTGTATCTTCTTTTTCACAAAATTATTTAAAATCAGACTGATTAAATAGATGTTAAATATTTTAAGAAGATATTTAAAATATATATATTTTAAATTGGATATGACCCTCTTGTCAAATGAAATCACAAATTTTGTGCTAACAATTTGATCTATTTTTAATTTAAATTTCGAAGCTAATAATGAGTGAGTCAATATCACATATCCAAAATAATTGCAGCACCTCAAGATCCAAGCCCTAAAGCCATCCAAGCCATTTGTATGTAAAAAAAAATTTAGGAGGTTACTACTACAAACTTCCTTTCCTTCATTAGTACTACAATTAAAAAACAACAAAGTTTTTAAAGCTTTTTTCACAAATTGTGACTTCTGACATAATAAAAAATCAGCATAAGGTCTTTCTATTTTCACCAAAAGCGATTTTTTTGTAAAACTATCATTACATGTGAATGGAGAAATTTCATTCAGTCGCAAAGAAAATGGAAATGCCCATTTTCTCTTAAAAATATTCAGGGTGTCCTAGAAATAAATGACAAAATTTTAAGTATAGCCGGTGATCAATAATAATTGATTAATGTGAAGTAGCTAATAGACAAAGACAAGCAATCACCTTCATGTGTGTGCTGTTGGTGCTAGTTCCGACAGTGGTTATTAATTGTGTATGATGAATGAAAAAGAGACAGACATATTATCATTTATCATGCAATTAAATTGCAGATATGAATTTGATTAGTGTAGTGTAGTATTTGTCAAACTATCACAATAAATCAGCCACTTGAAAATCATTTTCTGACTATCATGAACATATCAAAAGATCGATAATAATTAAGGTTATGACCGTACCGTCAAAGATTCTTTATTAATTTCCAAATAACTTTTCACTACAATTTTAAAAATGTTATGATGCAAAAAATTACAGAACAAATTTTCATTATACAAATGCAAATAGTTATTATTTCTTAAAGGAACGGTAATTCGTGAACATATTTAGTCATTTGAATTCGTTTTGTAATCTTAGTTCAGACAATTACGCTTAATGACGTGTACGTAAAGAATCGCCGGCTCAACTATAAGTAAATATTTCATTAAAAGGAACAACTTTTGTTCGATACATTTTTGTTAAAATTCATATTTTTGTCCAGTATTCCATACCTATTAAAGTAACCTTAAGGAGCTGTCTATGAATTTAATAAAAATGTCGAATGTCATAGTGGCGCATAGTTTTAAATCTGCATGTTCCGACTATATGTCCTTACTTCAATTCAATTTAACTACTGTTTCAAATAAATTATCATACCATATGGTACCATGTAAATGAGTGGTTACTGTCTTGGAAATGCCAACACTAATTCCCATTTTTTGTGCTTCTTTCTGTTTATTATTAATTCGACTAAGAGTTTCGATTAATGCTCCAGTGGTGGATAATACAAATTTACAATTTTAAAAAATTATGTTAATTTAGACAAAACTTGTTGCCTCTGGTGGGTTAAACGCCTAGGAAAAATGTTGTCATTTATTTCTCTGACCCTGTATATTTTTTAAATATTTTTAGTAAAGGTATTAGTTCATTTAAGGTAATTTTTGTCTTCTTTTAATTTGAAATTTTATTTTACGTGTATGACGTCAACAATGCGAAACATTTTTGGAAAATCACTAAATGTTTGTTAGCACACTGATAGGGTGACATAATTGTTGGCGATTTCTGCACCAATTTTTTGGGTGGGACTGTATAAATTCAATGATTTTGCGTCTTCTGCTGAAGATCGCTAGTCTTTTTGATAATTAAAGGAAACAGGAGAATACTATCATTGCCAGAATGAGAGATTTGTCACGAATTAGATGATTTTTCGTCTGCAAACCATACAGTATGGCAAAAAAATATCTGGAGTTTGCCATTTAAAAATTGGACGTAAAGTAGAAGTAAATTTCTTTTTTTTTATGGAAAATTGGTAATACTGTACTCTACACGATTTTTACTATGGAGAATATTATTCAACAAAGAGTTTGCCTAAAATTTTGTGCTATCAACGGAATTTTTTGTTCTGAATCGTCAAAAATGTTGGGAACGACGTACAATAATTCAGTTTTTTCAAAAACTCAAGCATACAAATGGCATTCAAATTTGGTCGAGAAGTGGTTGATGATTTGCCACGTTCTGGTCGTCCTTCAACATCTTCAACTAAAGAAATCATCAATGAAGTGAAGGAAATGGTGCTTAAATACGTCATTATAGTTTGAAAGAGCTGACATATGAACTAAACGTATCTGACGAATCAGTTAGCACTATTTTAGTTGATGGTTTGGGTATGAAATGTATCGCAGCACGGCTGGTTCCAAAAGAACCAACAATCTTCGGAATAGTACTTTTCCAAGTCATGTTGACTGTTTTCTTTGACTATAGTGGTATTGTCCATATAGAATTCCTTCCGGATAAAGAAACAGTCAATAAATAATATTATCTGGATGTTATGAGACATCTGAGAAAGAGTATCCGCCGCCAAAGACCAGATTTATGGAAGGAGAATTTTCGAATTTTGCACCACGTTAATGCACCATCACATACAGCGATAATTGTAAATGACGATAAACTCAATAAATGTCATCGAGCAGCCACGGTATTTGCTGGATATTACTGCTGCTGACTTTTCCTCTTTCCCAAACTCAAATTACCACTTCCTGAAACACGTCTCAAGTCGATGGAAGCCATAAAATAAAAAACGCTGACGAAGATGAAGTCCATACCGGAATATGCCTTTAAATAGTGCTTTGACTACTGGGTTGTTCGTTGGAAAATGTGTATTGCTTCAAATGGAGCATATTTTGAAGGAGACAAAATAAATTTTGATGATTAATTGAATATATTGTGTTTTATTGACAAAGTCCGGATTATTGGAAAATTTTGATAACTAGTAACTTAATTTACAATTTATGAACCCAGTATTTGCCAAAATAACTTTTTTATTTATAAATCAGTAATTACTAGTATCTGCAATTTCTAATGATAATTTTAATTTACGAATAGATATTTTATTATAACTAATAGATTTGTTTATATTTATCGGTTTAGTGGATGAATCTGGCAACACTGAAGGATTTTTTTTTCATAAAAATGTGAAAGCACTGATGATGATGCATGTTGCCATTGCACTAGAGTAAAATAATTCTAAAAATTAATACATTTGCGGCTGGATATGAAATTTTCGATTAATGATAACATATATTTTATTTTTTTTTTTAGATCAAATGAGGTAAAAAATTAGGAAATATAAATATGAATCCCATGTTTTTTAACCTATTTTCACTTTGTGGCAGAGTTAAAAAGTTGGAAAACACTCAATTCTAAAATCTTACTATTAAAAATTGAAAAATATAAAAATGTCAATGGAACCAAACTTCTTACAAGGAGAAGGTAAGGTAGTCGGATTTTTGTAATTTTTGATATTTATGGTATATGTAGTTTGAACCTTGAATTAGAATTTTCCAAAGTAGTTCGACGCAACGTTCATAAATTACTGAGTTAGTCGATTTTGAAGTTTTACCTGACAGCTAAATCCACTAGATGTGACACATTCTTCAACTGTGAGCGTGGCCTGATTGGTAGTGTTCAGGACTGACAGTCATGAGATCGCTGGTTCGAGTCCATCGCGTGGCATTCTTTTTCTTCAACGCACCATATGGTTTTTTATTATTTTTTTCATCTCGAAAATTATGAACAAACGAAATATTATAATAAATACTTATGTATATGTAGGAATATTCTTCAAATATTTCATTAAAATGCACAATTGGTCGATAAACAATATTTATTATGAATTAACAATAAGGTTTTATTAAAAAAAAAACCAAACGAGGTCAGGTAGGATGTTCTTTTATTTTATATTTATGCTAGTATTTGACATTTTACGCAGTGTGGCACGAGCCAGAATGGTAGCTATCATAAAAAAATGGGAAGCAGAAATTTTTTAAGCGTCTAGCTTCCTTTCTTTTCCTTTTTCTGATCTCGAAAATTATGAACAAACGAAATATTATGAGAACTGTATGTAAGAATATTCTTCAAGTGTTTAATTAACATTTTGAGCTAGGTTGTGTGGGTCGTCCACCGTGTTTAAAAAAACCGCTTACAGAACACACCTGCTCCGGCATAAAAAGTTTCGGTAAATTCCACAAAGGGCAGAGAAGCATCGAAACTGTGTGATGAAAGAACAATCTTTCAAACTGTTAACGAAATTTGCTTCGACGTCGATATTTTGAAAACAAAATGCGCCTGTAAAAACATAACATTTACACATGCTAGATGCTTAAAAAATTTCTGCTTCCCATGTTTCTATGATAACTATCATTCTGGTTTATGCCACACTGCGTAAAATGTCAAATACTAAAAATAAAATAAAAAACCAACCGAACCCCGTTGGTTTTTTTAAAAGAAACTTTATTGTTAATTCATAATAAATATTGTTCATCAACCAATTGTGCATATTAACCCTTTCACTGCTCCAGACGTATTTATTCACTAAAAATTTATAGGGCTCAAACTGCTCCAGACGGATTAATTCGCTTGAATAGTTAAATTGGATCAGGCTGATCAAACCGTATATATTCGCAACCATGCGCATTAGTGCAATTAGTATGGGGAATTTTTGCGGGCGGAGCTAATAACGATTGTGAAATATTTTTATGGAAGGAGGTACTGGTAATAATGCCTAGATTGTTTTTTCAGTTTCTATTTAGTACAGCTGTCGATATACTGTATTTTATTTAAAATAAAATCGTAAAATTTATCGTAAATCGTAATTTAACACAACATAATGTAAAACCAAGTGGTCTAACTGCTCCAGACGTATATATTCGCACACGGTAAACTTTCGCGCACGGCGCGGTAGCTACATTCAGACGTATTGCACAGCGAAAGGGTTAATGAAATATTTGAGGAATATTCCTACATATACATAAGTATTTATTATAATATTTTGTTTGTTCATAATTTTCGAGATGAAAAAAATAAAAAACCATATGGTGCGTTTTGAAAAAATAAAAAAATGTCACGCGACGGACTCGAACCAACGATCTCGAGACTGTCAGTCCTGAACACTACCAATGAGGAAGATGCATCAAATTTTCTTTCAAACTATTAATATGTAATTAATTATTAAAATATTGAATATAATTAGGTGGGCGAAAACGGTCCCTAATTGGTCAAGCAATTTGTGACGTCAGGATCCGGTATATGAGTGTTAAGACTGTCAAGACGTGGGAGGCTGGCACTGTCATTGCATTGCTGTCATTTAATCTTGTGTTGAATTAGTTTGTGTTCGCATTGAATTCTGAGTGGTTTTGAGTAGTTAGTTTTAGTGTATAAAAATATAAAGACAAGTTTCGTTAATTTTCATAGAGTCTAAGAACATTTTCACAATATCTACCCAGGCAGCTTTAATGCGTGGCAGCTTCAGGATCAGAATTACAACACGAGAACGTGAAAAACATAACAGTGTCTGAACATAAGTACCCATGTGTAGTTCCACAACACTAACTGCCCCCAACAAACTATTTGATGTACCAAAGGATGAGAAAATGAGGAAGAAATAATGTAAAACATATTTTATAGAACATCCATTTTTGACAAATTATCAGATTGCTCTTGGACAAATCCAGCTTCTGTAGCCATAGAATGTACAATTTTTAAAATAATTAACAATATTGTGTTAAGTAAAAGTAAATAATATAAAATCTATCCAGCACACGTAGTTTGCATAAACACAAATGAGTAAGAGTGAGACAGACAGACAGACTACTCGTTTAATTTGGACCGATACCGGATCGTGACGTAAGAGTCAGCGATCTTTGTTTAAGACTGCGTTTTAGTGCATAGAGAATTATTTTGAATTTATATATATTTATATGAAAACTATTATATAAAAATTTAAAATTTATGTGGCAATTGACTTTTTACGATGAAAGGAATTTAATAAGAAAAGAAAAAAAAATGTGAAACTTCCACATTAGGCCACGCTCCCAGTTGAAGAATGTGTCACATCTAGTGGATTTAGCTGTCAGGTAAAACTTTAAAATCGATTATCTCGGTAATTTATGAACATTGAGTCGAACTACTTCGGAAAATCCTTATTCAAGGTCCAAACTACACGTAACATAAATATCAAAAATTACAAAAATCCGACTACCTTACCTTCTCCTTGTTAGCTTTCATATCATTCATCGCGTTAAAAAATATTATATTTGTTACTAAACAAATAATCTGAAAAATAAAGCTTACACGATATCCCTTTGTCCAGCAAGGGTAGTTTCAAATCTGGGCTCCACGTAGGTCCAACCACCTTGATTTTTGTGTTCCTCCTGACACCAGGCGATCTGAGCATTGGAATACTTGGCACATTCTTGTTTCAACAAATCGAATGGGAAAGGTGTGAGCTAAAAAAAAACATTAAAACTCACCTACTGAAACTAACTCACTCGGACCAAGCTCCAAAAAATTCATTAATTTGATAGTGTTAATTTATTAATCAATTTAATTGCGTTAATTAATTAATTGAATTTAATTGCATTAATTAATTGATTGAATTTAATAATTTAATTATTTTAATTTAATAATTAAATTAATTTAATTGCATTAATTTAACAATTTAAAAATAAACAAAAAAAAATTTAAAATCACCGCCAGCGCAAACCGTACCACCGACAGAGAAGAAAAGAGAGGAAGATACTACAAACATTAGTGAGACTTACTTGTTCAACACGAGCAAGAGCAATCTTAGATTCTAACTTCTTCTCCTTAATAGCAGCTAACACATCAAAATAGACTTTTCCCGTGCAGAAGATAAGTTTCTCTACACCTTCAGGATTTTGGGAGGCAGGCCCTTGATCTGGGATGATCCTCTTAAATTCGGTACCTTCATTCATGTCATCAAAGGAGCTCCTTGCCTCTGGATGACGCAAGAGACTCTTGGGTGTCATAAGGATGAGGGGTTTCCTAAATGGTAAGGCAATTTGTCTCCTGAGAACATGAAACAAATTGGCTGGGGTTGTGCAGTTTGCTACAATCCAGTTGATATCGTGAAGTTGACGTACTGCAAAATCATCGCTTTCCGGTGGGAAATAGTCGGGATCGTCAGACGACATCTGTAGGAAACGTTCCAGACGAGCGCTAGAATGTTCTGGTCCCTGTCCTGAAAAAATGAAAATGGATAAGAATTATTTGGTAATAAATAACTGCATTTTGATGGAGTTTGTGCTTGGTTCTAAGGGTAAGTTTATAGTAAATTCTCGTTCAAGCCTGGACTGAAGCTTTAGCTCTTGATGTACTTGAGACGAAGCTCAGTCGAAGCTTGAAATGGGTATTCTTTATATACGTTCCTTAAACTTTGGTTTCCTAGAAAGGCGGTGCCGTAATGGTGACAATAATAAAATGGTAAATGACATCACAGAAAATGGTCTTATTCAAGGTGATCCAAAAGTAATGATTCACAGAGACATACTAGACATTCGACATCAACATATTTGATTAGAGCTAACAAGCCTTAATAAAATGTTGATAATAAAAAAATACAATCATTATGTTTATGAACGTGTGAATGAAAAAATTTAAGAGCAGAAGTTTTTGGATATCAGAGATCATGTTATATATTTCAATATATCTTCTAAAGAACACCACATAAGCCATGTTTAGGATGTAAATGTGCCCATAACTATTTACCCATAATTCTTAAACCTATCTCATTTTTAACAAAAAAAAAATAGCATGTTTATCATCGGTGTTAGGAATTGCCCATTTTCGGGAAAATTACGTTTCAACAGTCAGCTATCTATATGAATTATTTCAGGAAATTTGAACATAGGGGCTGATGCCAACACAAATTATCCCTGTGGTAATCATTTTTGTCAGTTTTATTTATCGATTTTTGGTAAAAACTAACGGCAAAATAATAACCCACCGTAGCCCAATCGGCCGAAAAACTTGTTAAAATACAACATTTATTTTGACGTCTTCACTGATGTTTGTCTCCATCTTTGTCTAAACATCAGATGTACTTCGGGTATCTTTCACAGCAAAAAAAAAAGTTGATTTTCGGTGAGAACTCTTTTTAAAGAGGAAATTTCTCTTAGAAGACGCTAAGAAATGGCTTTCAGAATATGATGTCGAGATAAAGGAAGGAGCGCTTCGCGGCTAGTGAAGAAAACCTTTGGTAATACCAAATGCCTCTTTTCGCAGCTGAGCGTTTAGTACATAATGATTATGGCCGCTATCTTATGCGACCAATTTCCTAGGAAACCAAACCTTATGATCCGGTTTTTAAAATATTATTAGTAACCTGCCTTCCATTCCATGGGGTAAGAAGAGTGTTAATCCAGTTTGTCGCACCCATTTGGCTTGACCGCTAGATAATAACTGATCGATGATACACTGAGCAGTATTAGCAAAGTCACCGAACTGAGCCTCCCAAATTACTAAAGCATTAGGATTAGTCATGGAATAGCCTAATTCAAATCCAAGTACACCATACTCGGAAAGTGAACTGTTGCACACTGTGTAAGGGGCCTGATCAGGGTATAAATTACAAAGAGGTCTAAAAATTGAATAAAAAAATTAATAATTCTATTTTGCGTCATGTGTAATTGATATATTTATTATGTACTGTAAATAAATGATCTCTATACAGTGTTACCAAATTTCACTAACAAAATTGTACAGGTGAGTCCCTGCTAAAAAAAATGTCAAATTTATAGATTTTTTCAAATAAAAACATATGAATGGATTATTTAAATGGAAGTGTATTTCGTTTGTGACCATATGTTTATATAAATTTGTTTTCTCATTTTTGGTTATGGAATCACCTCTGGAATTTTGTCTGTAGAATATGCAACACCCTGTATTTTATGTACAATTACAAATATGCTCAGGTTAAGATTATCTACTTACCGGTAAGTTGCCTTATCAACTGTTTGGTGATGCAAAACGTGGTGCCTGTGAGAGAATGTACCTCTTTCTACGTCCTGTCCGGATAATCTAACGTGAATACCTTCTTTTACTAAAGAACCAAAGGCCATTGCTTCTCCAAGAGCCCAGTCAGTTATTCGGTTCTCTACCATCTCCATTCTTGATTTTAAAATACGTTCAATACCTTAAAAAACAATATAATATCAAAGCAAACAATATTTGATTTTATACTATATCAGAAATACAAATGTAGTATAAAAATAAATTATGCCGCGAAATTCACTATTTTAAGGATTGAGATAAGAAATTGTGATATGAAATAAATTTGTGGTAGGAAATGATAATTTCTTAGGCAGAAGAATACAGGATTTTCTATGCACATAATTAGTCATAAATTTAGAACAATTCTAGATTGTGTAATTAATAATAGATTTGTAACCTAGAAAAGTATACAGAGCCTTCATAAATGATTACAAGTCACATCAATTTTATTTGCAACAGTAATTTTATTTTCTTCACGTTAACAATTAAATTTTATGAAAAAAATCTTAAAAAAGGGCTTTTTGGGTAAGAACATTTTACAAGATTTAAAAAAGATTTAATAAAAGAAATGGTCTTAATACAATTATATATTTTAATTATTTGATAATGATTTCATGTCAGTTTGAAATGCTAAAATTTTGTTGCAAAAAATAAAATGAAATTCAACTTTCTAGTGACAAATTTTGCATTATGAATATAAAAAAATGAAATGTGCATAATAATATAAATGTTGAAATCATATGAGTTTAGATCAGCATAATTCCATATTTTTAAATTGGTATGTTGGTTACAACCTATAAAATCTAGTCATTAAAAGATATTGCTACTTTATGCCTATTAGCACAAAGCACTGCCTTGTATAGTCTTTCCGATATCAATTGAAGAATTAAGTCGTTGACGGTATGTACCAGGTTCGGTAGCTGACGCAGCAACTGGGCATTGAAATATTTGAAAAACTTGTTTCCATATTTATTTAACCATACCCATATACAGGTCTGGTCGAACTACATGTGGAGGTGATAGAAATGTATATAGTTGAAGAATGCGAGCGCGGGCAATCAAAATTTAACACAACTGCATTGAGCTACTGGGCAATAAATCTCAGCTTTTGACAAGTGGTTGACAAATTGCCCAGCAGTGCAGTTCAGCAATGCGGAATCTGGTGTGATTTAGGTAATTTAAATTTTTTATAGGCGCCTTCTATTAATCATTTATATTACAATTGCGAAAGGATGAAATAATATTATTACAACATGGCATTAAATAATAATATGTTTAAAAATAATTAAAATATGTTGTTGGTCAATAAATATATAATAGAATTTTTCTACACATTATATACAAATTATTATAATTTTTTAGCTTTAGCAGAAAACTTTTTAAGGGACGCCTATGATACTCATTAAATTTGATTGATCGGTTTTTTTATACATGTTTAACTGACTTCGGAAAGACTATACCTACTAATACAAAGTGACCTACTAATCTGCAGGGATAACTAGTATTACAATACATAATGGGAAATAAAAAACATTAATTAAAAACTAACTGTACTTTTAAAAAATATTTGTGTACTGACTGTTAAATCATATTTGCATATTCTCGTATTCTTACTTTCACATGATGTTATAAATGTCGAGATTAAGTGTATTTGGGTACTAAAATTAATGACGGGCACTATCCATTGAATTCAGCCAATGAATAAATTAGTCATTAATAGACTTCAAGCACAGTACATTATAAACCCTGAAATTCACACGGTTGTCAGCACTTTGAGTTTTGACTTGATAGACAAGGGCAATCATAAAATTTTTATTTGTATGGAAAAATAGATATTTTGTGTTAATATAGATATAATTTAAAAATAATAAAATTATTTATTTAACAAATTAATTATAGTTTTATTAACACTGTGATCTTTTCCCATAATTATATTAGGTACATAGTTTGTTCTCATTTTGTTAGTGACAACATGTTGCGTTATAAATAACAAAAAGTTTTAACGAAATGAATAGGACAATCTACATAATTATAATTTGAAGACGAGTCCTCTTTTGCAGGAAATACAGTTGGAAATGCTTCTTTGTGCAATTATGTAGTAGAAAACAATTTATTTTCGAAATATATTGCAAATGTTTATCACTATTACTTTTTTGTAATACAATTATTTTATAGATTACATAGCTATTTACATTTTTAAAGAATCTAAAGAAATTTAAATTACTTCTGTACAATCACTCATACTGTCTGTGGTTGTCTTGTTTACTAATACTAACCAATGACTATGACTATCTACTACTGACCAGTGATTACTAGTTCAGTGGCATGTGACGTGGAACCGGTAATTTGTTAATCACACTATTTCTATTCAAATTTTCTTTGCACTATCGAATAATTCGAATACTTTGGTACTATTCAATATTCTGATAGTTTTTAAATGATAATGCCCATCATTAACTAAAATCTGTTTCAATAAGAAATGAATATGTACAGGAAATATAATTTTATGACATAAGAATTGGGAAAATATATTAAATGTTAATTTAAATATAAATATTACCTTTGTGAATAATAAATTCGGTTGCGTTTGGAGGTGGTGAGGAAAACCGTTTCCCAATATGCACTAAAGTTTCCTCGTTTACACCTGTAGGGTTAACTTTTAAAGGATCCTTGCCTTCAAAGAAACCAGACCATGGACTATCAATCCAATCCTTATATTTTATGTGTGTCTCTTGACGTGCACGTTCGAAAGCCTCCTCGCAAATTTTATCATATTTATCTTTTACATCTTTGACTTCTTCTTCACTTACAATACCTTCCTTAATTAATTGCTCAGAATAACTTTGTAAGAGAGGTTTAATAGCCTTAATTTTACGATACATAAGGGGTTGGGTGAACATAGGTTCATCAATTTCATTGTGGCCATTCCTGCGATAACATACCAAATCGATAACAACGTCTTTATGGAAAGTTGATCTCCATTCGGCAGCTATGTTACAGACGTGGATCACACTTTCGGGATCATCGGCATTAACATGGAAGATTGGAGCATTTACAACACGGGCGACATCTGAAATTCAAATATTAACGGTATAATAAATGAAAAAATTTGTCACCTGTTTTGCTGCATACCTGTGCAATAAGGAGATGATCTGGAGAAACGAGGATCAGTTGTAAAACCAATTTGGTTGTTTGCAACTATATGAACTGTGCCATGAGTGGTATAATCTGGCAATTCAGACAAGTGCATTGTTTCAAAAACAACACCTTGGCCCGCAAATGCAGCATCACCATGCAACAACACGGACATAACCTAAAATAATTGTTAAATTAAATCATGTAAGTTAACATTATATTTTATAAATACGGCATATTATAAATACCTTTTTCCCCTCTCCATCGCCTCTGTAAAACTGTTCAGCTCTTGTTTTTCCTTGAACAACAGGATCAACAGTTTCCAGATGCGAAGGATTAGCGACAACAGCTAATCTGATATTTTTGTTGGTTACACGATTTAATCTAGAAATAAAATTTAATATTAATTCTTTGGAAAATACTATGAATCTTAGTTATACCTTTCAATGTATGTTCCCAGGTGATATTTTACATCACCGGACCCATCATCGGCCGCTTGCAAACCAGCAAACTGTGTAAACAATTGATGAAGTGGTTTTCTGCAAACATTAGCCAAAACGTTAAGTCGACCACGGTGGGGCATTCCCATAACTATACTTTCAACTCCTAACTCGGTGGATTTATCAATTACAGTTTTCATCGCAGGTATCAAAATTTCACAACCTTCAAGACCAAATCTTTTTTCGGATGACCATTTTCTTGCTAAAAATGATTCAAATCTGCAAAAAAAAATTTGTTCATTTAAAAAATGCCCCATAATTTTAAGTATCATTATGATTAGATTGCAATAAAAATAAATACTTAATTTCTCAAAGTATTTAGCTACTCACCCGGTGGAACGAGTCAAACGTGCTAAAATAAGTCGCTTTTGATCAACACTGAGGTCTGTTACCCCAGGTGTTTCAAGTCGTTGACGAATCCAATTGCACTGTTCCAAACTATTGATAAACATAAATTCTACACCAATATGTCTACAGTATGTAAGTTCCAATCTACGTAAAATTTCACGTAATGGTAAAGCTTTTTCATTGCCGCCAATGAAAGTGGTAGAGGGTAGTTTGAATACCCTGTCCATATCTGCCTCTTCTAAATAAATTCAAAATGTATTTCATTAGAAAAAATCGGGCATTATAGGCTAAGAACGTGGATTGATAGACATATGAGAAACATCAATTAAACGTAAACATAAAAGATAACTTTCACCAAATGAACTAAAAGGTGAAAATATTATTTAATTTTTAATGGTTCCTAAAAAGAGTTATTATTATTTAAAAAAAAAAAGTAATAATGGAGAGCAAATCTGTCTAATGGATGCAAAATATGTCCACAGATGACTGTCGGGAAAAGAAACTTTTTTAGTTTTGATTTATTTTAATGTACTTAAAAATATGTTTGTTAAAGTTATTACTTTAGCATACATACATTTAGATATCAAGTACAGGGTGCCAAGAAAATTAAAAAAATGTGAAATAAATGAAGAGTGAAAATGCTTTATTTCTTTACAATATCATTAAAAGTTGGTTGTAATTAAAAAATAGGAAAAGATTTCAGATTCATTCTCCAATTAATTTTAATTAATAAGTATTATTCCAAACTTTTTTCAAATTCTCTGTTAACAATTTTATATCGTTTCTAGTGCAGTATATATTTTTAATTATTTTGTATTGTAATAATTCAACGTCGCTAAAGAAATCAAAACATTCTAACCCCTCATATCTCTCATATATAAATTTCCATAATGGCCCAATCAGGAGTCAGTCACTGTTAGGTGTCCAAGGGTTCCACTTTTGCCAAAAGTAAAATGTTACTTATTTTGAATGAGAAGTTGAATGAGAAAGGCAACACATGTTAAAAATAAAATGTGACTAACAACTTTTGACATTCTTCTGTGAAAAAATAAGTCATTTCACTCTTCAACTGTTTCGCATTTTCTTAAATTCTGAACAATCTGTACTTAAAATCTAAACGTATTTATGGTAATATGATTATTTTGACCAGATTTTTTTTTCTCTCTTTGCACTAATCTATAAATGTATATGTACATCAAAATTCACAAGTGGTACAAGTATTTTCAACTATGTATATGTTAATTTGGAACGTATAGCATATTTATTAATGGTATTTAAGATTTGTAATAATATAAGTCTGCTTGTCTACTTATAAATAAACTAATACAGGACAAGTGCATATAGAGCGACTCAAAATAAGATTATTTAAGGAAACTCATCTATATACCAACACTCAAAGATACAAGTTACCAAAATGGGAGTTTAAATTTTGAAAATATTAATCCCTACAACTTTTTAACAAAGAGAACCAAATTTAATTTGATTGTGATTGTTAATTAATTATGTTAATGTGAGTGCATCAAAGAGCTGATTAGGAATGACATGCCCCAAAATTTGTCCATTTTTTTCTAACAAAATTTATTTCAGGTCACGCAAGATTAAGTTTTTTTGTAATGCTGTTAACTATTAACAAACCTTATAGTTTTCATGAAAAACAGAATTAAGGGAAGAATGATGTGATTATTGCCAACTAGAAAAAAGGTAAATAGTGCTCCCATTATGATTTATGTGTATGGTATATTTTACGCAATAAATATGACACATGCTGCATGTAACTTTGTGCAACCTAGGTTGCAATTATCAGTAGGTACAGTCGACGCAACATAAAGGTTTCCAACCTAAAAGGCATACTACTTTTAGAGGGGCGAGCCGGTGGACTATTAATAGGAATTTTGAGCGGCATCAATAATTAGAGGCTTGTCATATTTTTTTTGTGTAGCCACATGTGTAACGACACAACAAAAAATTGTAAGCCTTTAGTATATGCATTATAAAAAGAGAAGAGTATACAGATTTTGAAATTATTGTCTCTTGCCATATTATTTTTCTTGTCTCTGAGAAAATTAATATTTTGAAATAAGAATTTGTCATATTCTGCAGAAATTAGGTAGGTAGGTCATGAAAGCAACAAAATAAAAAAATATTGTAAACTACAGTTTTATTATATCTTTACATTTATACAGTTTCGGGAGGAAAGGGAATTATTTTAAGGACGTGTTCTGGAAGTGAAAATAAGTAAATAAGTTCATGACAATATGGGTCCGGAAATATTTCCTTTCTGAGATAGATGTCGAAGGAAATTTAAAATCCGGTTTTTTCTAAATATCTCGAAAACGATTTAAGATATTACACTGTCACTGTACTATACACCAAAGCTCAGTGTAATATCTTTAAATCGTTTCGAAATATTTAGAAAAACAGGATTTTTTTAAATTTTACATCTATCAGAATGGAAGCCGGGTCCATAATGTTATGAACTTATTTACTTATTTTGACTTCATTTTATAAACAACGAAAAAACAAAACAGTCTAATATTTTGTCCAACCACCATCCGAATTAATAACGGCTTGTAATCTGTTTGGCATAGATGTAACAATAATATCGAATATAATTCACGTCTATACCGTTCCAAATATTTTATATACGTTCCCAGAGCATATCTCTATTTGGTGGAATATCGTCATATTGTTCATTCAACTGACACATTACAGAAGCCCATAAATTTTCAATCGGGTTCAAATCGGGACTTTTAGCTGGCCAAGCAAGAACGTTTATATTATTTTGTTCCATAAATGCCCTAACTACAGCTGATGTATGCACTGGTGAATTATCGTGATGAAAAATGAATTCCCTGTGGAATACTGAAACTGAGGGTACCATGATATCGAATAATATAGTGCGGTACTGAAGGCCTGTTAAATTTCCCTCAACCCTCCAAATTACTCCGGGTCCGGCATCTGATATCCATGCCCAAGTAGGCACAGAAAAGCGACCACTACGAGCTCTTTCGCAGACATATCTGGGGTGAAATCGCTGATTTTTTGGGCGATAGACTTTAACTTTTCCAGAATTGGTGGATTGAAATATTTTTTCGTCGGAAAATATGACGTTATTCCAAAAATGTTGCCCCTGTTGAATATAATTTCTGGCAAATTGAAGTCTTCTTTCACGATGCTGGACTGTTAGAAGTTCTTTACTAGGAGCCGTATAATTAAAAAGTCCTTGTTCTTTTAATCTTGCTGTAGCTGTATTTTTACAACTGGGGAAGCCCGTTGCCTCTATTGCGTGGCGTATATCTGTAAATGGATTTTCTCGCATGTATGCTACCAACGATCTGTCTTGATCTTCCGTAGTTTTTCTGTTGATTCCTGTTCCTGGTCGACGATCAACTGACAGCTCAATTTCCCATTTACGATGCAGTTTATTTATAGATGTGTGACTCACATGAAGTTCTCTGGCAACACCTCTTGCTGACCAACCATTTTCCAGCATTGCAATCGCCGGACTTCTGCGACGAGGGGAGAGTTGAGCCATTTTTTTTAACTATTCACACTTACTACTCTGTACACTACAGAATCACTAAATACAACTCAACTAATTGCTATTTAATTAATCACTATCCAAACTACTAATAAATCACTCTGAAATCTCTAACTAAATCACGGTTTTCTGCCTACAAAATTGACACCTGTCACTTTAAAATTTAAAAAATATTGCAGCGCAAGTCTAATGGGAACGCCCCATATAGACAAGCGGTTAAGCCGTCATATTTCAAACAAAATACGATTCAGATTGGAAACCTTTATGTTCGACTGTACATTCCAAAGCCTCTCTTGAGAAATGTCGAACCGGACCAATGTGAAGGGATTACAAATCTTTTGTAACTGCTTATTAATAAAAAAAATATTAAATTCACTCTTTATTATTTTTTTGTGTGCATATCAATTTGCTTATTTAGACTTTTATAAATACATGGCAATAATTTATATAATTTTGTGAATTTCTGTTGCTAGGAAATGTATCTACACTACATTTATTATACATAGTTGAGAAACTGGAATGATTGATACATGCTTGTGTAGGTACATTTCCTAGATAACACAAAAAGGATTGGCAATAGAAGTTTATAAATAGCCCTCAAGATCTATGATCAGCCTAAATCATATACTAAATATGGTATTTTGTTGTAAAATTATTTTTCCAATTTTGAACCCTCACTTTGGGAGGTTATATCTCCTAAAGAGTGCAATTTGCTTTAAATAGACTCACTTTGAATCACCCTATATACATCTGCCAGGTGTCGGTTCATTTACGAATCGCTATGTAACAACAATAACCATATAAAAAGCACTGGTGATTATTTTACATTGGTATGTAGGAAAGATTTATCTTTGTTCTAGTCTAGGTGTAATAGGAATTTTCACCTTTTAAAAATGTAACTGTTGAATGTGAAATGACTATATTTTGAATTTACTGAAATGAAGGAGAGATTATAAGGATTGAATTATTATGAATATCTTTCTTATAATAAAAATAATGCATAAATGTATCTAAATTTTACGGCAGAATTACAGGTTCTCAGAAACTCTTAATCCCAAAAATTAAACATTTAACTATTTAGGGTTTGTATTGTATGACCTGATGAATTTTGATGCAAATATACTTTATTACTAAAAAATACAATATAGCATCATCACCTTCTAATTCATTTTACTGCATACTTAGGTAACACTAAAATCGAATCAGCTTGAAACATTCTAGAGTATATAACTAGGCATATGCAAAGCTGATAAGCAAAAAGTAAATAAAATTAAAAATCTAAACAAAATTGTACAGGTTTTTTTTATTGTATTTTGCATCCACAAAATGGACCATACACGAGGACAAATTATTGAAATAAAAGTTGTAAGATTTTAAGAAACTGTTAAATGTACAAAATACAACTAAACATTTATAATAGCTTTGATAAATGAAATGTCATAGAGTATTAAAATATCCATTTAGAGTATCAAATAATGTCACACATTTAATTCTTTTAAGTAATTTATTAAATAAAATGGAAAAACTAGAAATTCATTGAAGTCTTTACTGCCAAACAATTTCCACGATGGTACAGTCGGCGCCACCCAAATGTGAACGGCAATATTGTACCGTGTAATTTAAACTTCAAATCATAGTCGTAAAATTCAATAGTTGTCAAACATACATATATGTCACTTAGAGCAAACCTAATAAAATGTAAACAATTAACGTGAAATATGCCGGAGCATTTAACTGAAGCGCATAGAGCAAGGGCTATAGCTAAATTAGAAGATAATTGGTCTTTGAGTGAAGTGGCTGCTGATTTAAATGTCAGTAAGAGTTGTATATTTTATATTAAACAACGCTGGCGAGAACAATAATTACAAAGATCTATCAGGCAAGGTGTCGGGAAGGTTTCCTGTGACGCGGAAGACAATGCCTTGGTCGAATTTATCCTTAAGAATACCCTCTCTGTGTTGCGCCACTAAAAAAAGTCTGATTTACTACGATAAAATCTAGATGAAATTTCTATATAAATAACTACCAAAATGCGTTCACATTTGGGTGGCGTCAACTGTACATTGTGTTAGAAAATATTTAAAAAAATTATTTTTTAGAAGAGTTTTGACAGCTCTTATCTCTAATAATAAATATTCTTTGAATGTAGTATACATGCAAGCTATTAGTATTTTTTGATAGTCCACCTATTCCCCAAGTTTGATCAATAAAAAACGAACAACCCTGCATAAAATAGGTACAACAACACCCCTTTCTTCAATTTTTGCTTATCAAAACTACACGAAACATGTACTGGAGAAAAGTGTATACAAAATTGCATGTTTAAAAAAACAAGTTATTAACAAAACTCATTTTGTAACCTTCTTTTGGAGAGACAAATAGTTCTAAAGCTATTTTACATTTTGCCAATTGCTTACTAATGGTAATGTAAGTTAAAAATTAATGAAATTAAAATAACTTAAGTACAAAATTAATCTTTTTTCTTGGAAACCCCATTAGAATTTTCAAAACAATGAACTAATTTTCAGAATATCTAAGGGCATTGAATTTCTGGGGTTTTTATTAAAAGTGACTGCTTGTCATTAGTATAAAATAACTTAAAGTAACTTAAAATCACTAAAAGAGTTGCACTTAAAGTTTGTCCATGTACTTAACACCTAATTTGTTTTGATCTTAGTATTTGGGTTTTTATTTTATTTTAATATAAATAGATAAGACTTTTTCCGAGATAAGACATTGTGTCTTTAATTTATATTAATCAAATAATTACTTTTAAAGATTCAAACATTTAAAACCTTACAACTTTTATATACAGTAATTTATGTATACAGGGTGGGCCAAAAGTACCGGAATGGCAGGATATCTGGGAATATTGAAGGGGTAGGAAAAAAGTAAAGCACTAGGGGTTTAGAATTTTTCCCTGGCTATCCGATGGTGACCTTGAATTTGACCTGGACCATGACCTTTAGTCATATCAAGGCCACAAGATTTTTTTTTAATTGGCACCCCATAATTTTGATCCCGGAAATGGAGCGGAAAATTTTACGTTCGAATATGACCATGCAGGTCAAGATCAAGGTCAAATATCAAAAAGTCCCAAAGTAGCCCAACGGTACCGGAACGGTAGAATAACCACAATCAAGTATGGCCAAGATTGGTCGTTAGAGGTCACTAAAGGCAACAGTTGGTCACTGTTGGTCATTAGTGGTCACCAAAGGTAAAGTGTGGTCATTGAAGATTAACAATGATCACCGAGGGTAAGATTGAAAATTCTCGTGACCTTGATGTGACCTTGAAGGTCATGCTCCAGGTCAAATTCAAGGTCACCATTGGACAGCCATGGAAAAATCCTAAACCCCTAGTGCTTTACTTTTACCCTACCCCTGCAATTCCGGTACTTTTGACCCACCCTATATAATATATAACTTTTCGGATTCATTCTGTACAGTGCAAGTTTAACATCCTCTCACAGTTTAGTTAAAAAGGTATTTGTCAATAGGAATGAAAGAATACAAATAAGCACTAGTTCAGGAAGGGGTATGAGCTGGAATTATAAAAGAAAATTAGTAAAGTTACCTCTTTGATGTTCAAAGGAATAATCTCCCTTTTAAGTATAAGTTACTGTATAAAATGAAAATAAGATACCTAAGTTATATAAAATAATGACTCTTACGTTGCATAAACTGCTGGACTTGCCTTTTCAGCTCTTCTGAATAGGTTCTGGATGGGTGGTCTGGGTTACAACAAAATAAGCAAAAAAAAAACAACAAAATTTTAAATAAAAATAACATCAATGGACAACAAAAAAGGCGTACATGCTTATGATTGGTTAAATTAACGATTAATACGTTTTTATATAAAATTATATTGGTCTAATAAAAAAAAATTATTGCCAACTTCATTCATTTAGAAAATATTTTCATAATCACAAAAAAAGGAGATCAAACAAAAGAATAAAGAAGGCAAAATTCTCCTGTTACTTTTGAATATTAATATGATTGATGGGAAATTTCAACATTTTTATATTTTATTCAAATTGTTCAAATTTAAAAATCGTGTAAAAATTTGTTCAGATTATAAAACAAGACAGTCTTTTAAATTTATAAATTTAATACAGCTAGTATCCTGTCATGCAGATAACTAATTTACTAAAAAGCCACAAAAATTATAAATTTTCTGAGGCAAATATATGTATTAATTAGATACAAGAATATACAAAGCAGTTAACGAATAAAAAAAAATATGAAGAAAAACATTTTGCGTCATGCTTGGAGGACACTGTTTAGGCATTAATAGAATTAGTTGCAGAGTTTTAGATCAAGACAAGATACTGATAGCTTATTAGTTAATAACTTTTAGAAAAATGACCATTAGATCATTCCTGTTTACTAAATCTTACCGAAGTTATAATTTTTGTATACCAATTCCTGTGGCGTTTGGTCATCTAAATCTGCACTGTTGATTCCCAGAGGATCCAGTTTTGCAATGTGATGTCCTCGGATCTAAAAATTATCCAACACCTCTGTCTACCCTTAACCATGTCGTAAGAGGAGAAACAAATTTGACATATCGGCAATGTATGCATTTACATAATTATTTACCAATAAAATTTCACATTTATATTAATCAACCCACATACATTACTGTTATGTTCTTTTTCATAGAGAGAATATAAATATGAACACCACAAAAGCAAACTAAAAGATAACAATAGCGATAGAAAAGATGTCAATATGCAGCTACTAAATTTAGTTGGTTTTACTATAAACTAAGCAAGCGTCTATAAGGAATAAACATGATTTAAATGTTTCAAACTGAACGACCCATTCTGTCTAGCTTTTTTTATTAAAATACTGGAAGTAATTATTGGGGTCGTACCTAGTTTATGGTGACGAGTAATTACGTCAGGAGGTGTACCTGCAGTTTGCGATATAGTAGTGGTACGATCATGATACATGATACCCAGCGGATCCAGCTTAGCAATTATATGACCTCGTGCCTACGGGAGTAAACTGGTTATGGAGAGATTTATATAATTATATATCTTGCCATGGAATTTTGAGAATTGTACCAGTCATGTTATGCATAGAACAAATACAGACCAGACTGATTAAATTCAATTTTTTTAAATTTAAATTTCATTTTAAAATATAAATTTGTTTTATTAAATTCTGCACAATTTTGCAATGTACCTTTACATGTACGTTTCTATATATCTGCTTTTTACTAAAATCAAAAAATATGTAGACATGCATGAAAATTTATTAGGCTAACCAATTTGATTTAATTTTGAGAACGAATTGGTAAAGTCTCTATATACATAGTGTCAGTCATGCTTCAAAGGTTTGGATCATATTACATTAATATAATTTTGCTTTCCTGTAATGTTGAGGGATGTCAATAAAATTTTTTATAGGTAGCATATCAATGTACTTTCATGAAACATTATTTAGACGCCTTTATTTCAGTAGGTATTAATTTTCCAAAAGACATAATTTAATCACAATTGTATAAAATGTCTAACATTGTGTGTACTGTGTGTACATGTGTAACATGTACACATTTAGCAAAAAGGTAAAGATTAATTAGATTAAAATACTGGATTGTCCGTGACATAACTAAGTAGTAGAATTATAAAAATAAAATAAAATAAATGGAAAAAATTTTTTTTGAAGGTCTGTCACTTCTTAACGAAGCATAATTGTATGAATATAACTCGATCCAAGGAAGCTACCCCTTCATTCGTTTCTAGATACACTGTTTAAAAGTATCACATTAAAAAAAATTATCAGAAAGCCTTCTGTACCTATAACTTTAATTTTTGTATGGTTTCAATATTTTAATTGCATCCACATTTTTGTTAGTTTTCAGATCACAAATTATCACTCCTATTTTTCGAATTAAATAAAACTGATATCTGATGTTATACTTTTCAAATCGCAGGGAATATTAATATGTATAAAAACAGCCTTTTATTTATGTAAACTACGTTACTTACCTTTTCAATTTGTTTGATATAAAAGTTTTTACTTGTAAGATTTATTACTAAGCAGCACAAAAATGGAAAATATAAGAAAAAGTCATTATATAGATGAAGTCGTTTAACGTTTTTATAAGAGCACTTACAGAAATTGTTTTTCTTTTTTAATGAATAGTCCCCTTGCTTAATGAAATGGCCCAGAGACAGTGCGATTTATTACATAACAAGTTCTATGATAAACAAGAAATCTCGTGTTATCAATTTTGAATAATTGTAGGATATAGTGAGCAGTGGAACTAATGAACTTGTGCTGTAAAAAAACTTTTTGATGAGTTTTTAAATAACTGCATAGCTCTATTACCATTTTTATAAGTAAATTTATAACCCTACAAACGTTCTTTCAAACTGGGACGAAGTGAGTAATAAATAATAATTGCGTAGAAACACTTATCACTTTATATTTTCTCCTAGTGCCAAAATATTTCAAGGTTCAAATTTTATTTGGAAATACTACCCTGATGTTACGATGATAGTCGCCCTATTTTGGTATACTTCCCAGAAAAAGGTGAAATTGTGATTAGGAATCAATACAGTAATATGCTACTGTCCTCTTTTCTTCGGACCTTCCACACAACATTAGTAGGGTTAAAGTTTATAGATAATAAGCTGTAAAGTTGGCTGGAAGTTGCACCAAAAAATTTATTGTAGAGAACACCCACAAGCTTACCGACAGGTGGACTAAGTGTGTTATGCAGCAAAAGCAGTATATCAAAAAAATAATACACGAATAATTTCTATACCACTCTTGTAGCAATAGAATTAAACGATTCTTTATATAATGACTTTTCCTTGTACAATTCATAATTTAATAATTTTTTGATCTTTAAAAAGGACGCATTAAAAACCATGTGAACCTATTAAATGCAAAAACATTATAAATGGATTTTACTAACTACCAACTAAATGACCACCAACTGTTAATGAATCATATGATTAATCAGTTATAATAATTGAAGATGGATTATTTTTATTATTGTGATTGCCAAACATTAAGTTTAAAAACATGCAAATACAAAAGCCAACCTGCAGGAATTGTAAACAGCGCAATATATAATTCAAATTAAGGAAGAAATATGCGTTTAAATACCATTCATTTAAAATTAATTGGTTAAATTATAAAATATGAAAATTATAAACATTTGTAACTAAATCAACATCCATATTTTGTCAGTAATTTTTCATAAACAAAGCTGGCATAAAAATAAGAGCAACCAAATGGAGTGCTTGAAAAACACGTCATGCACATAACATACATAATTTTGCAAACTTACAATGCCAAGTTAATGCACAGGGAGATGTAATCAGTGTTCTTATATTATCATTTGTTAACCAAACATATTTAAGCAATACACTGCATAAATTGTATTTCTAGGAAGTCTGCATTTTTAAATTTATTTAGTATGCAGGCTTCCGTGACAGTTGTTGATGGTTTTAAATTTTAAACTTACACATTTCTTTACTAATTAATTTAATCTGATATTAAAAAAACATTTCATACTCCACAAAACCTTTCTGATCAAAATTTTTTAGCAAGAACTAAAAAATGCATATAATTATATTCAATTACATCTCCCTGGGCATTGAACTACCACCATAAGTTTTAAAACAACCAGAAACTGCAGACATTTTGAACTTTTCATAAATGTAGGTAGCAAATCCTAGATTTTTTATTTACTTGTTAAGTTCAAACCAACTGTTCTGGTGAGACAAACAAATAAACGGTGCCAAATAAAAATAGTTTCACTAAAAATAATGCATTATTTATTGGAATAATGCCATAGAAGAATACTTAAAAGAAAGTTTATTTATTTCAATGAAATATATTTTTTAATTTGGGTTTGATTTTAATGCATTTACATTTTTATTATCAAAATTACGTACATAATTTATTACATTTGAAGAAATATTGTAGTTTGTTTTGTGCAATCCATTTACTGACAATATAAAAAGCCACTAGTACTTCAGAGATAACAAGATAATTAAAATAAAAAACTATCGTAAATTACAAAATTAATTTACTTTTATATCCATCTCTAATAACTACTGTTTCTTTGATGGTCTAAATGATTAATTTTTGAAGGTTACAACATAGTTATTTATTAAAGGATAGATGTTAATATGGACAAATTTTTTTATTTTTGTTATATGAATTCAAAAATGCTCCACAATCCATAAAATTATAATTTATAAACATAAAGCGAGCAAAATGACATCTCTTTTTATAAAAAAGTGATGCTGATGAATGAAAACAGATTGTTAATAAAGCGAAAGTTAATATTGTTTATTAAAAAAATGCTTTGCTTCATTTTATTTAGTCTCCAACAATACACATAAGTAAGGTTGATCTGATGTAGTGCAGAAGTTTTTTTGCACAAGTTTTTATAAATTTAATATTGATTTATCTTCATTTAATAAAATGGCCGTTCCCAAAGACAATCAAAATAAATATATTTTATTTAACTTTCTTCCTTAATTTAATTTTTAAGTGATTAATGAGACCAATAAATGATCTGTTAGTATTCTTCCAGGCATAACACCCACTGGTCTTGTGACACCTTAACTGATTAGTTACTTTTAAAAGCAGCGTACCTGGTAACTTCTGATGATGGCTTGAACAGCTAAATGATCATCAATAATTTTCTCGTTGATTGGACCCACTGCGGAGGGTGAAGCACCTGTTAAGGATAATAAAGAGGTTGCCGGGATTTCATTCTTGCCCAGTGGGGCGAGAGAAGGTGGAGATTGGTACCCTGGACCTCCTTGGGCTGAGTTTCGGAAAAAGGAATCCCAAGACTACAAATAAAATAAGAGAGCATATATATTTATCCTAATGTAACGGTTTTGAGCAAGTCTGAATACTTCTTATACTTACCACTGTTTACAAATATTGACAACATACAGCTCAAAATGAAATCTTGTGCGACATTTACAGCAATGTGAGATAAATGGTTCATTTTAAACAAGTTTATCAGTAAAGTTAATAGTAAGAAGGAAACCGAGTTCATTATGATCACAGAAAATTTTGTAATTTATTAATTTGGAATTATACTGACAATACATGACACCTGAACTGTCAAGTTCAAACAATTTTACAACCACTGATTTGACATTATACTATGGATAGAATGCAGAGAGGTAGAGTAGGGGCCAAGATGTAAAATGAGATTATTCTCACCTCACGTGACCTGGGGAATTTGCAAGCTTAGCACGTGAGATTTCTCATATCTCTTAGGTGGTATTAAGTGTTATTACCCATCAAAACATGAGTTTTACTTAGGAACAAGTTCACAGCAAGTTTCATTAAAATCTACCATAACATTCTCCAGATATTAGAAAAAACATTTTTTTTTTTTTCAAAAACTTTGACAGTCAATAGCAGAGGAGCCAGGCATTTTTTCTTAATAGAAGTTAGGTCAAATCGTCTTCTTTTGAGTCAAAGGATATCGCAGTACCTTTTTGATCATGTGCTTATGGGACACCCTGTATACATACATATTACATTTGTGTGTGCATATACATACTTGTATTATCTGAAACCGCCTAATCGTGCAGATATGGTAAACATGTCGTGGACCGTTTTAGCTAAGCTTGCAATATGAGTCAGTTGGCGAACCTACTTTGCTGTGTTACGATGTGAACCAGTTTTCGGATGCAATAAACCAAAATTATTGCTTTAATTGTGTTTTATTAAATATCGCTTTTTACCTTAAAAGCTAACATATATGCATATTGTAATTATTTTTCTGTAAAATAATCTTTCAACTAAAGTATAACTGTATAATCTGTATTCTTCAAGGATAGTAGACAAACGCGGAAAAAATAATGCCGAATTACTGGACGTGCCGGTGTAATGAAATGCCGGATTATAGAGATTCTACTGTATTATTTTTCTTCAAATTTATTTTATGTTCTTTGGTGTTTGTATTTTTGTGTTGAATATCTTTAAGTTTGTATGCATTTAATTTTGACTTATATTTATCTTTTCAGTTAGTTTAAAGATTAAAGATAAAATTTTGCAAAATGGTTACATAGTGTTCCTAAAGATAAAGGTACGAGCGACAAATGGGTAGCTATTCTTAGGAGTGCACAAATAATGATGTTTTTTTAATTGGTCAAAATTTACCACAAATGTATACTTAACGTTAAAAATATATGTAGTATTAAATGGAAGTACCATGGTAAAAGTTTCTCCATCATCCCAAAAAACAGCACGAGACATGTTGTATGGTAAATATTTGTAAGTTTTATGTTAAATTTCAGATACTGTTATAATTTCTGCAATAGAATTAATAAATACATCATATGATTCTTTTGTTATACATTGTATGATCTATTACGTTTATGGCATGTGGATGTGAGTATAAATAAAAAACTGTAAATCCATATATATTTTCATATTTATCAATATTTTAATATACCTATTCACAAATTATTTCTTGAACAATTGTAGTTGTGACTTTAGGGAATATGTACAAATTATGTAAGAGCATTTATTTCAATACAGTATAATCTCACTAATCTCACCATTAAAAACCTAAGAGTGCCGGAGTACTGGAAAGTTCGGATTAATGGATAATGTATATGTAAACAGTATTAAATTAAAAAACGTTACTTTTAATTGTTTATTAACAAAGAGATTGGTACATAGATACACATATATTACAGTTGTGTATGCATATATATATGTATATTGTAATGTTTTTATGTTTCTGCAAAATAATCTTTCAACTAAACTATAACTGTATAAACTGTATTCTTCAAGGATAGTAAAGAAACGCGGAAAAAATAACGCCGGATTACTGGACGTGCCGGTGTAGTGAAGTGCCGGATTACAGAGATTATACTGTATTTGATTTCCCACACCCCCACATAAGAGATGTAAGTTTTGCAGAATCCCCTCCCCCCATTCTTATGCAAGATTTTTCTAATCGCAGGGGGTAACAGCATGTTATATAAAAAAATATATCCTGTTTTTCTCATATAGTTATTTGCATATGTTTATTAACTATTTATTTAAATGGTAGTTTTTTTAAATGTCCTGCAACTATTTTCTTTAAATGTTGATAATATCGTCTTACGTAATTATTGTTTTGATTCCTCCTCCCTCCACACAAGGTTTCGTCAGGTTCCATACACCCCCTCACTCCCTTCCGTTCTTACATAATTTGTACAAGGCCCCTTATCTATTTGAATAAAATAATAAATTTTGTACTGCCTTCTATTTATTTCATATTTAAACAAACATTTCATGTACAAATATTGTTTTATAAAGTATAAAATTTTAAAACAGCATATTAATGTCTTCAAAAATAAATATTCTCATCTTTTTAAAAGTTAATTGTTGTGTTGCTACCAAAAAGGAATCAATTTCCTAATCATAAATAGTTTTTTTTTTTCAAATCGACACACTACGATTTGTATCCTAGGTCACATGACTAGGATACTTAAATAGATGCCGCTTGTGCTGTTCATGTTGGAACAGCTACAAAGCATAGAACGTTGGCTTTGGCTCCATCCACAGTATACTGTCAAATCTATGTTTACCACACTAGCATAAAAATTATCGAGAGGTTAATCATTGGGCGAAGAATTACATCCAGATGGATTAATATTGTCAGGGCTGGGGCTGGGTTTTATTGTTGACTGTCAAAATTCGAATGGAATAGAAACAACAGCATTGATAATCACGTTTATCTAATACCTATCAGCATTTTCAAATACTGTTTTTACCTCTTTACTTAAAAATACATTGAAAATAAAATTATTGTAAGTTACGAGATATACAACCTTCTTTACATCACATTTTTTACTTTAAATCATAGCAAGACAGCATCAAAAAGAAATGAAATGCCTATCAGTTTAGGAAACAGCTGATCGCCCACTCCAATTCATCAGAAAAAACTTTGATGGGCTGATGCTTAATCAACACCCATTGGCTTAATTAGAAATGGTCGTTTCTTTCCAGATGAAAAGAAAAATGTAGACGTATCACATGCCATCTGATGCCTCATCTGATTTAATGAGAAACTTGCTGAATATGTATTTATACATTTTAAAGAGATACAGAAAATAAGAATGAATATGGAATAATATAACCAAATACAACGGAATTTAGAGGAAATATTAGGACAAGCGAGTAGTAAAACAGCAAAATAACAGTCACATATGAGAACGTTTTTAATTTTTATTTTATAAGGAATATATTTTAAATATTCTTAAGGAAAATAGGTTTGGAAATAGGTGAAGGTACAATTTTCTAGATAGTGAAATGATTCTTCGAAAGTTACTAAAAAACTTTTAATGTTTCTAGTTATGACTGCCATTTAATATTAATTTTATGATGACTATTCTCACACTAAAATAAAATTAATCACACAAATTATAAAAGAATATAATTTTACCACAGTTATAAAAGGCAACAGTGTTATTCGCACTAAATAATTCATAAATGAGTGTTTATGTCAAGAAAAATTCATTGTTGGTAATTTTACTAATTATAATAAACATACAAGTTTCTTTCGCAATTTTTAAAAATACATATGAACATTAAAGGTGGTAATAAAACCTTTTTGAAGGGGTTAAACTGGTTTTGATTCCATAGAAACTCATAACAATTTGTTTATTCATTCATTTTTAGATATGTTTGTTTCTTCTTAATTAATGAAAGAGGTAAATCAGATACCACATTTAATTGTAACTTTTTTTTTTGGAACTTGCTAAACCTACTTTAAATTGAAAAATTAATTCAGTAACAACAATATGTATTGCAATTATTATTTAAATTATTTTCACGTTATTTATCTGTTAGCTTCTAATGTGAACAATATGATAAATATATCAATGCCACACAATTATCTTGATAGTAATTCCTCGTTATAAAAATAAACTGTCATTTACTCCTTATATTATTTTCATTTTCATTTGAAATGCAGAATGAAGATACATAAATGTTTAATAAACTCCATCCCCATCAGAGTTATATATCACTATACTAAAGAAAAAATAATAATAATTAAACGAAGATAGCTATATATTTATCATATAATTTATTTAAAATTACTTTCTTGGTTTTTCTTTATGCTAATTAATAATTAATATTACCAGTAATCTCATTAAAATAATTCAGTTCAACTTCTCTATGAGCTTGGCAACTGATTCCTTATACCTCTTATATTTACCAATTTTTCACCCAATAAATTGATCAAGAAATTGTCAATTTTATATTGGTGCATATAATAAAAAAATTGAAATTTTTTAGCTTCAATAAACTGATAAGAAGTTGAATAGAACCGATTCTAATTTATTAGCGAATTTTGAGGATATAATTTATATTCAGAAATAATGATATAACAATATCGGTGGTTCAATATTGAGCGATCTCGGAGCGCTCTGGAGCAATCTGTCAGCAATATTTATGTTCAGTATATAAAGTCAAATTGACCTACTTTAGATCTCCGTTTTCGGTGATTAATCCAACTTTCCTCTCGAGCGTTCTCAGTTGATCTGTAAATTTTTTGAGATCAAGTACGAAAACCCAAAACATAACCTTCAGTACGATATTTTGGCAGATTATTAACAAGATTAAAAACACAATTATAAAAGTTAAAAGTGTAATTTATAAAAGTCAACAACAAACGATAACATTCACTAGATAAGATTTTAAAAAATATATTGCATCCCCAATAGATTTAAAATCCTCTTCAAGCTTAGAGGAGGTATTAGAATATAATGATTATTGAGAAATCTACAATATACAATTAATAATATAATTACCGTTCTCTAAAATTCGACGCTTCACTTTATTTTTATCTTTTATAGGGACTCGGTTGCACTTTAAAATTTTCATTGTTAATATAGTTTTTCAAATTATATGGTTAAAAGTAATATTTTTGGATACAAATAGACAAAATAGATGTGAATAAAGTATTATTAGTATATAATTAGTTATAAAGTATTGCATTATTCCAATTTTTATTTAATACTGTACAGACCGCCAAGTCAAAAGATTCCAATTGTCACATAACAGACTGAAGAAAGAGTGTTCCTTGGTTCATGGTTTTTAAAATGTAGTGCACTTTTTAAACGGTAACAAACAATTTATTTAAGATTGATGATCTCATTGTACTATTTCAGAACAATCAGAGCAAAACCTTTGAAAAATTTTAGTTATCTTCTACAATTTTGACACTTTATTTATACCACAAATTTATAATTAAATAGTATATTGTAGAAATCTTATAAATTTCATATCTTCCTTAATAAACAACTTCTACTATCAAAAGTGAATTGTAAATAACTAGCTTAATAAATATTTTGTAAATATTAGTATCCCTACTAATATTATAAATGTGAATGTAAGTTTGTTTGTTACGCTTTCACGCGAAAACTACTTAACCGATCATCATGAAACTTTGTACACATATTCTTGGAGGTATTAGAAGTAACATAGGATACTTTTTATTAAAAAAAAATATTTTTTACGAAAGATTTTCTATCACTCTGCGAGCGAAGCCACGGGTAAAAGCTAGTATATTTATAATAACTATTGTTCCAAAAGGTGGTAGCTTCAGGTTTTGCCAATAAATTCATTAATATATTGTAACATATAAAATGGTATCACAAATATAGTGAATTGTGATAATCTGGTGTAATTTATTAGGTGAAAAATTGATCAATCTAAAGCACGTATGATGTCAGTTGTAACAAAAAAACTAAACCAAAAATATTAAAAACGAAATTTTGTACTCGTTATGTTTATCTTACTTTGTGATTAAGCTATGTTTGGTCATTGAATAGGGTAAAATAAAATAACTATTGCAACTTACAGCATGGACACTTGAGGGATCAGCAAGCCAAGCATTGTACATATCTTCCACATATTGACTGGAACTTCCATTTAAAAATGATTCGGCTGCAGCAGGTACATTGTAATGTCTACATTGGGCGCAGGATACAGTTGGAGCATTTTTAATTAATAACCAGGCAGCAAATTTTTGGCCGGGAGGTCCAATAACGGTGTTAACTAGTGCTCTTGCTCGGTGCATTTTATCCTAAGAAACAATAATTTAAAAAAAATACGTTTTGGTTAATTATTAAATTTATTTAAAAAATGACAGCTTCATTTAAAATTTAAATAATTTATATAAACTTTGCAAAGGACCTCGCACTTTTCTTATGGGAAGTGGGTTTCGGCCAATTTTTTTGAAACTTCGCAGGTCGATAGTTCTTAACATGTAGATCAAAAGTCTCAATGGGCACAAAGCCCCAAATCCACCCCTTCCCCCCCAAAAACTGCCTCCAAGTAGCGAGGGCGATTTAACTGATTTCTGCATGTAAAACAATTTATTTTTTTAATCAACCCAACAATGACCCCAAACAACCACATTTTTGATTAACAAACTGCCCCACTTGACTCCGCCCCTCACACACCCCCCGCCCCCTACGAATCAGCCTACGGATTTTCCAGATTACTGTATTTTATAGTTGCTCGTATTTTTTGCCGTATATTTACACGTATATATTTTGCAAATATTTTTTCACACTGAATTCGAATCTGCAACTCAATTTTATGAAATCGGGTCAGGAAAATTGTTTATTAACAATTTAATTGTTTATATAGCTGTAGAAAGTTTATTTGTGATTTTATGAAAAAATATTTCAAGTAAAAGTTATTTATTTTGATTAAATCTAAAAAAAAGTTTTTATGTGATTTTTTCGAAAAAGTAATATTCAAGCTGTAAAACGCTGTTAAATTTAACACACGTGTATATCTACAACTATCATACATATACTCTTGTGTTAAACTTTGGTGGCGTTTTAAAGCTAAAACATTGATTTTTCAAAAAAAACACAAGAATAGTTTTGTTAGATTTCATTGAAATAAACAACTTTTATTTGAAACTTTTTTTCATAAAACGACAAGTAAACTCCCCGCTACTTGGAGGCAGTTTTTGGGGGGGAAGGGGTGGATTTGGGGCTTTGTGCCCATTGAGACTTTTGATCTACATGTTAAGAACTATCAACCTGCAAAGTTTCAAAAAAATTGGCCGATACCCACTTCCCATAAGAAAAGTGCGAGGTCCTTTTGTATTTTATATTAAAAATTAATTATTGAATTTTTCTTTTATTTTTTTGACTTCATTTGATAGGATTTTTAGAAAAAAATTTTTATTTATTTGAATTGGTTTAATTATCCTGCAAAATGAAATAAAAATAGGTTTCTTATATAAAAAATGTTCTTTGACGATTGAAAATTATGTTTTTTTTATCCTGAGAATTTATTTTTTTCCTGAAGCCGTTATAATCTTTTGTAACATTACAAAAATCTTTTCAGTTTTTAAATAGTCGCAAAGGAAATTTATCAATAAATTGATCTAAACTTACTTCCTTTGTAATAACATAAATACCTAAGAAGTCATTGTATTAGAGTAAAATTAAAAGTTCATATATTCTCGACATAAGTTAAAAAAATTGACAATAGGTTAAAGCAAGAACCTAACCTAACTTTTTGTGGGGCAAATGACGATGACCTTGCTCACAAATTTTCTGAATGTCTTCAATAAAACAATTACCTACGTAAAAGTGTTTCTCTCGCTATTAAATCGGTTGCTACATCAAATCACGTGAAACTAATTTTACCTTACAATTTTGGCAGCTGTCATGCTGCACGATCCGAAAAAAAATTTGACTTGAATTGAAATTGAGAATAAACAAATCCAAGAAGTAGAATAAATTCTGGTATTAACTCGAACTTTCGCTCGACGTCTAAAACGAAACGGATTATTAAACATATTTGTTAAAATTAAGGCAAAACCAAATGAAATCGATATGACCTATCCTAATGCCCATTATATAACCAGTAAGCACTTATTAAATTGCACAATAAGAAATTATGTAGATAAGTATTATTAATCTTTTTTTTTAATTTTAGAAAATACAAGAAAATTAGTCAAGAAATTACCTTGTATTATATTCCACGACCCACTAATCCCAAAACCGAGCACTGTTTTTCCTGCACTAAAGTTGGACGTTGGACTTGGACTTGTCAGAATTTAGGCATGTTTTGTCAAAGATATAAGAAACAGCGGAACGCAACGTAGGATCTCCCATCATTGTTTAAATACCATATCCCTATACTATTTAAGCCCTGTTCGTTAGATGCTACTCCTAGTTGCTCCAAGAGATCTTGGATCATGAAGAGTACGGAGCAGTGACGTCGACAGATCCTTTTAGATCACAAAGTAGAGCAGTCAGATCTTGGAGTAATTTGCCTGCGTTCGCTAAGACGACTTGAACATAATCTATCATAAAAAAAATTCTATAATAACCTATGCTTTAATTTGTTGTAAACGTGTGTGTTTTAAGTTTACTTTGTCTAGGGTATTTTTAGCAGTTTTTCTCGTGTTTAGGTATACAAAAGGCAAATTTGTATCCACGATGAATAAAGAAAACTTATAAGGTTTATCGGCGGAATTACTAGTGGAAGAAGGAGAAAATGGATTGGAAAATATTTAGACAAAGATTGTGAATATGTCATAAATATTATTTTGTCACGTGCCTTAATTAATAAGAAGTGCATTCCCATGTTTACCGGCATACATCACATATATCAACCCCCTGTATCAACCAATAAAAATAAAATCAGCTGATTGCTCTACTCCGTTTGCTCCAGCACAAATGAGAGTAATCAGAGTAATGATCTTATTGATCAGAGTGAACTCCTGCATAATGAACAACATAGATTTTGTGCTCGGCTTTAACGAACGCCGATAAAATACTCCGATTAAGTTGGAGTATGGCAAGCAGACACAACGAACAGGACTTTAAGAATGTCACTTCATTCCTAGATTATATACTTACTGCATTCGAGATGTGGAAGAATCATATTAGTTGTATTCTCTATAGTAAATCATTTTCTTACTTCTACCTAAGACGAAATGAAGTAAAGAAGATTCTAAAAAGAATACATTTATAGATTCATGGTTTCAAATTAGTCAGTATTTTAAAAAGCTAGCTTAATTGGAGAAAG